TCTAGAGGCATTCTGGATAAATTCCAAGAATCCGAAAATGAACCGCAGGGAGGAATGCCTTGTTATCACGCGTGATATTGGACAGTATATAAACCTGTTATTCTGATGGGAGGGGCACATTACACTTCCATGTGAATTCTGTGCGGTCGGTCTTCACGCGATATACTCAGTGGAAGACTCATAGCGGTGAGTGTGCAGAGCTATGCTAAATGTGATTGAAATCTTGGTTTATCATTTTCTCTGTATGGTTATGGAGGTGTTTGGCCGAGTGGATTGCTGTCAACTTGACCCTTCTAGGCTCTGAGGAAGGCGAAATCCGCCGAAACGTCAGCTTGTGCGTAAATAAAATAGCACCTCGTGCTTGCTGAACTGAAGTAGAAAGATAAGTTCTTTATATTCTAGTGGTTTTTATTTCCATTAATAACGTTCACTATGGGCCAGGTTGAGTTTGCTTAAAGTTTGGATGGCGCAATAATTTCAGGCCACGTGTGATTGTATGCAATCCAATAATTTTCTGCATGATTGAGCTGACATGATTGTACACAATTCACATAGTCCGTTTTGTGTTAATGATTGTAAATCACGTCTGAAAAATGTGTCGTTTGTTGATCTCAATTCCATTGACGGGTGATTGCTGGTGGCACTGTTAGATAGAAAAACTATATGAGGGAAGGGCCAAACGAGGAGCCCACATGGTGTGGTGGTGAACACGTTAGCTCCCGGAAAGGTTAAAAGCGGGTTCGATCCCCACCGGACACCAGCGTCGCTGTGGTTGCATTTCACATAATACCCTAGCGTGAGAAATTGTAGTAGGCAGTAAATAAAAACTTAACATAGTGTTTTTATGTCGTAAGAAAGTGTTTTTTTATGTAGGAAAAAAGAAAATTAGCAGGCTAAAAGTCGTTGAGCAGATGTTACTGAGTATAACTTTGTAACGCTGGTGAAAAATTTTAAGGTTAATAAGTGAAATTATATTGTCTCAAAAGCTACAGTGTACGAAACAAAATAGGTGACATTTGGTTAACCATTTGCAACTCTTAATTTCCTTGGCGTTGAATGTACACCTCTACTACGTTAATGATAGTACAAGTCGCATTCGTTTGACCTCTTATCATGGTAGAAGTGTCAATGGCCAAGTATTGAGCTTCAGTGACCAAGTACAGCAGCGTCATCTTAATAAAACTTCACCAACAACAATCTGTCGTTTTGGAACTCCGCCCATAGGAACGAAAGCAGTTTTTAAAAAAAAAAGCAGTTTTTCCCTACGACGGAGTTTAGAATGCATCTTTTCCCGGACTATGCCCGCCACAATATCTGCCGTGGGTGAACTATCGTCTCAATCAAAAAGTGTAGCAAAATAATACGTTGGGTTTTGCAATATCCCTACGCAATTATGGTATATGAATTACATATGATTCTTGTAGTCGTGGAGTTGGTAATTTCAGTTTGTCATCGAGTTCTTATTAGGTTTTAGGTGAAACTTTAAATGGTTTACATTTACATTTGATATGAGAACACTATTATTTTCAGGTTGCAGACGAATTAGTTGCTGAGTACTTTGCCGCCAATAACATGCACTCAGAAGAGTTCCTGGTATGTGTTTAATTTCCCACTATGTTTTGTTTTCCTCTTGTTATTGTATCCTCTCAACGGTGTACCGTCTCATCGTGGCTAGGAGATGTTCCTGGATGTCGGCCTGCGATGTACAGCAGGGAGATTCGTCTCCCGGCAGGGTCTCCCAAGCTTAGAAGGAGTCCGGCGTTTCCATCAGGAAACCCAGCTATGAGTAAACCAATACCAGAATCTACCACTGTCCAGCTACCAAACAAGTCGCATGGTGGCAAATCTCCCTCTGATCCACAACGGCTGCGACTGCCCGTGGTGATGAAGACCTCGGGCAGACTTTGGCCAGGTTGACCTCGGGATTCCATGGAACCACGGTGGCTTAGGCAGCAAATCTCCCAAAAATGGTGATTATGTTGAGGTCCGCACTACCAGTAAGGACGGGCCGTTCAAGTGTGTTATCACATAATTTCAGGAGAGGCAAAAATATGATCAGAAAAATATTCGTCGCCGTGTTTATGATGCTCTAAATGTATTATTAGCTATGAATATAATCTGTAAACGGAAGAAGGTTAGTTGCCTGTGATTCGTTTTGTGCTACATTTTCCTGACATCTACTACCTACATCTTAGGATATCGATTGGGTTGGTTTACCGGCAACTAAAGCAGGAGAAATTAAGCGCCTTGAGGAAGAGAGGGTTCGTTTTTAGTTTCGCATTGCTACTGCTTTAAGCAGTTTCACTACAGTATGGTTTCATGATTGCAGGCTAAGGTTCTTGAAAGAATTCGAGGCAAGAAAGAAACTATACAAGAACTTGTAGTTCAACTTGTCGCTTATAAGAGTCTTGTGTGGAAAAATCGTGAAATGGAGAGGTCAGGAAGATTGTAATATGTTGTGTACGGTGTACTATTCGTCCCTGTATGCAGTCGCCATCAAAATTTCTTTGTTTTAGGCTTAATACACGTCCACCAGAAAACTCCGTTCTGTATCTCCCCTTTGTTATTATAAATACTTCCAAAGGGTGAGTTGCTTTCAGTTTAATTCAGAAAAAAATTGCCGCGGTTTTTTTATCGTCATCGCCCTCAACTTGTTTTCCGAATTTTTACACTCATGGGTATCCATTTACAATTTATAAGATGAATTATTGTTCTTATCTTCTTATTAGAGGGCGGATAGTACAGTGGTAGTGATGTCGCTCATCGCGAGCATGGTGCTAGTTCTATTCCGCTCCGGACCAACCAAGCCTCTCATCCCTCCGCGGTCGGGAAATTGGTACCGGATTTGTCTGGGAAAAAAATCACTCGCTGGAATCCGTTTGGGAACGCTCCAGCCCGGCTATGTCAGGACTCCAGGGGTATTCTCCACCAGCATTCTACGACATTCAAGATGAAGTGAAGATCCTCAAGCAGTAGTCGAAGACACATAATAGTTATAAGGTCTTCGTAGATGGTGTATGCGAGCAAACGGATCGAATGTGAGAAGTACTGGAATCCGTACCGTAGACGTGAAGGCGGGTCATATAAAAATAAAAAAATATCTTAATCGTTTAATTTACTGCCTGCTCTTTTTTAATGGCAGAGTATATTGCGAAATATAACTTCAATGAACCTGAGATATTCTCAAAACTCCGGACCGCAGGTGTCTGCGGTGGGGGACGAACGCGCCATTGTCATTTCCGGGGAGTAACGCGTTCACCACCACGCCATACGGGTTCTTCGTTTCGCGTGTCTCTCAGCTAGTTACCGCTGATGAGTGATTGCTGACGGCAAAATATCGATAGAACTAGCTGAGAGACAGGCGAAGCGAAGGGCCTGCATGGCGTGGTGGTGAATGCGTTACCCCCGGAAAGGACAATAGCGCGTTCGTTCCCCACCGCAGACACCTGCGGTCCGGAGTTTTGCCATTATCTCAGCTTTATTGAAGTTATAAAAAAAAATATGTTCTCACATTTTCCATCCTGGAATTTAACCTGACTCAACATTTCCTTTTTTATTTAACTTTCGCGAAGTATTGCTCGAACTTTATAGTACAACTGTCGATTGTGCTGTGTCTGGGGACAGATCGGAATTCCTCTTCCAGTTCGATCAGACGTTCGAAGTATATGACGATTTTGAGGTACGGTGTATCCTTTCCATTGTGATGACTCACCTGTGTGTATTTTTGGCTAACTTGGTCAGACATGGTAATTGTTAAACTGTTGACCAGTTCAATAATTCTCCATTTTGTTATAAGATGCAGCATTTTTATAGGCTCTGAAGCGTCTGGGATATTCATATGGCCTGGAAAATAACACACTAAATCCTGACATGGTAGAACACATCGACGAATTTATTCCTCCTGCTCTACGTGGCTATATACCGAAGATATTGGGTGGTATGTCTTGTTACCATATATTTCATAACAACAACAACGATGCTGAGATATTCGCAAAACTTGGACTCTGGGCCGGATCGAACCACGATTTCCTTTTCCTGCTGCTCGCGCATTACACACTGCGTCACCGAGATTTCGACTACGGCCTCACCTTAACTGAGGTTCAATGTCAATTTGTGCTTCCCGGATCAATCCCGCTGGCGGGTGATTCCTGATGGCAGCGTTAGGTAGAAAACTAGCTCAGAGAAACGCACAGCAAGGGCTTCCGTGGAACAGTGTGTATTGCGCGAGCCCCCGGAAAGGTAAATCGTGGTTCGACCTGACCCGGGGTCCAAGTTTTGCGCATATCTCAGTATCATTGTGGTTGTAGTTCACATCATACCCTACCATGAAAAATTGTAATAAGCAAAAAATAAAAGGTTGGTATTGTTTTATAACAGTTTATTAGATGCAGACTACAAAGATTGCTCCTACAGATTCCTATTAAGGTCATTTTGTTAAGAACTTCAAAGGCAAATTGATGTTGATTTCTTGGATTTCAGGTGAGATGTCGGATTGGGAGTCACGGTTTAGATCGAATCAACCCGTACATTACGTTATTCGCGATGGACCGCCGGGAGAAAAATTGTTTGTTCCTTATTCTTACATAATGAAAGGTTTTACCCTTAAATCAGTTTACTCTTGCCATTTCTGTTTATCTTCCATCTCTACTTTAGACTCCTTAATCTTCGGGTGAGTAAAGATGTCTCAAGTCTTCATACTTTCCTGTTTGGTAAAATGGTACCAAATGAGATTCTGTCGCTCAGTGTTATAAGAATTTCCGTGTGAAGTTCTTTTCTTTTTACATATTTTGATGAGAGCACCCCACCACGGATTCGATGGTGACGTTTGTTTGCCAGCGAATACTTTGTGATGCTTTCGGCAGACGATATCGGACTAATTTCTAGAAAGCTACTCCGATCGGCTTTTTATACACTTCCTCGTCACTTGATTGGAATTTTTGATTGAAAGAACGTCCAAAATAATATCCACATATACAAAGACATACATGCGTTATGTGATCACACACGTATTCCACCTATTTGCCATGTAACGACAACATGTAGTATAGCGACTTAGCATTCTTCATCTGAGAGAGTACCGTGGCTCATACTATTGCTCCCTACCTCCCTCTCATATATACATATATATACATATACATGTGCATATATATATAAGGGCGCGTTTAGAACAGTGGTTAGGAGCGCCCTGCAAAACAATGAATTAATGACGCGCCCCAGGCTGACTAAGCCTACCATTTATTGGGGCTCGGTAAATTGCTACCAGGTTTGTCTTGGAGGATAACAGCACTGGCTGGCTCGGTACACCTGTAAACCCCTGCGAGTCGTCGTATTAGCGAGATATGCATTCAGTCTGTAACGGTGCTTAATGTAGTCAAATGAATGCATGACGCATCCCTTGAAGTTGATCAAAGCCAGGGGCTTTATCCTTCAATTTTTAACTTCAATATATACATATATATATATATATATATATACACATATATATCCATAATATACAAGTGTATTCAGCCAGTCATCTGTATTTGACCATTCTGGCTCTGATCATTCAAGTGATGGATCATATGTCGAAATGAGTCAACCTGTTTATGCTTCCGACAGTTATCCATACACTGTTCCTGCTTATGAGCCCGAAGTGGGGGAAAATATCCAATCGATGGAAAGTACAAGTAGCTATCCCACATATTCTCTGGCGTGTGCGAACGGGATCTATGACGCATTGAATCATAGTTCTCGGCAACCGCCTCCTTCTCAGGACAACTCTAGCATGAAGGATATTGCAAATGCTGATTATCAGGCAGTTGGTTTTGCATTGAAGGTGTGTTATTAACCTCTTGTTTCTTTTGTTGGTTAATGATATTCAATTTGGCCAGAATTTTCAAATTTAGCTACTTCCCTTCAGGCCCAACAAAGTGTATCTCGGTCCACCAGCTCTAAGAGATCTGCGTACACCGTGACAGGCAATCAGCAATTTCGAAGTGGTCAAGTTGTGATCGGGGAGAACGTTGCGTATAATGCTGTAGAGTTTCCACTTCTTTATTGGTACTTGTTTGTACTTCTGCAGTTGCTTTTACCAATTTCAGAACGTGCAAACGAAACGGTTGAAAACAGGAAGTTCTGCATATAACGAATAGTTTTCAAATGCTTATTTCTTAGCTTTTGCCAAGTTGCCAACATCTGATTGCTTAATCGGTTGGTTTTATTGTGTAGGTTAATCTGATTGATGTATCAAAGAATGTTGTCAAGCCCATTTTTGTAACATCTTACATCAGTACATTACATAAGTAGTATTAATACACTTTTCCCACTGGGTGTATATTACTCTGTTCTTTTGCGGTGGCTTGTCCAATGCCCGAATTGGCTGTGTCATGTCAGAAGTGTCGATTTTCTTGAAATTCATTAACAGGATCGTTTTACTTCACCTGTTTTGCCTTCATTACTTGTAAGACATTAGGGTAATACCATGCCAGCATGAAATGATTCGTTTGCTTCGAAATTATCCTACACCTGATCTGCTGGCTTTAATAAAGGTGTCAAGATCTCTTGTCGTTATTAGTCGACTTGGTACACCGTTAATATTTTAGCTTATTTTTTTACTGTTTTATTTATATAACCCGTCTTCACGTCCACTGTGCGGATCCCAGCACGTCTCATTAGATTCTTTTCCTCGCATCCATCATCCAAGAAGATCTTCCAACTCTTACGTTTGGCTTAGGCTACTGCTTGAGGGTTTTCATTTCGTCTTGAATATCGTACAATGCTGGTGGATAATTCTCCCTGGAGTCTTGACATAGCCGAGCTGGACCGTTCCCAAACGGGTTGCAGAGAGCGATTTTTTCCCAGACAAGTCCGGTACCAATTTCCCGACCCCGGAGAGATGAGAGGCTTGGTTGGTCCGGAGCGGAATCGCACTAGAAGCATGCTCGTGATGACCGATATCACTGTCATTGTGCCATCCGCCCCTTATTTCAGCTTAAAGGGTAAAAAGATAAAGGATAAAACTCTCGGCGTTGGTCAATCCGTGAGGGATGGGCCATGTATTCTACCTCACTGAGCATCGTTTGGAAGTGATTGAAATCATATGTGGCCTTTATAATGACTCGCGGTGGCCTACCGATGGATCGAGCCAGTGCTGCTATGCTCCCAGACAAATTTGGTACCAATTTGCGGACCGCCGAGGCATGGAACGCTTGGTGGACTATCGACGCGGGGATCGATTCCACGTGTGTGTTGCAGGGTGCCTCCGACCACTGCGCCACACCCGCCTCTTATTCTCTATCTCTTATTATTTAGCTTAATAAATTTTGTATGCAAAAAACATTTTGATGAAAGGTTTTTTGTCTGCTTAGTTTCTACATGATAAAAGTAGCAGATTTTTTCTATTCTTGTGGGGCGGTTTCTTGGAAGTTTAACTTATGGTCGTTTTGGATCCCAAGGGTATTTCCTGAATCGGTGCTGTCGTTGTGTTTGTGATGGTATTTAGCTTGCCTGTTATTGCATTATAAAAGGTTTGGTTTCCATCTCTTTGTTGGGGTGCTTCAGTTTCTTGAACAAACTTGATGCTTGTGATTTCTGCCATGTTAGAAAGTGGGTGGAATCTGTTTGGGATCTAGAAGGCAACTCCATGAAAGAATTGATATATTAGTTATTTCTTTTACTAGTGTTTGGACGCGTGTAGCGCCATGCTCGGAGGTGCCCTGCAATACGCGTGGGGTCGATTCTCGCGCCTCTCGCCCACCAAACTCCCTCCCTCCGTGGTCGGCAGACTGTTACCGGACTTGTCTGGGAGTTGGGCAGCACTAGCTCGATGCATCGGTAGGCCACCGCGAGCCATTGTAAAGGCCAGATATGCATTCAATCACCTCCAACGATGCTTAATGAAGTCGAATGCATGGCGCATCTCTCAGGGATTGATCAACGTCGAGAGCTTTACCTTTGTTAGCTTTTTTTTACTGGTGTTTGTCCGTAGAGGTATGTCAAAATTGTTTATGATTTTCTTTCTATGTTAATTAATTGCTTTCTAGATGAAAAGCATTGAAGCAGGTGGAAATACGTTCCGGTTTGCTGAAATGAACATTCGTCATACAGGCAATCCAGAAAAGACAATTTCGATGGTGAGACGAGCTGTGAGGATGGGCTATGATACTGTTGTGATCAATATCGACATTGGTGACATTGTCCCAGAAGAACACATTGTGGGTATTTAATTCATTGTTATCTTTCAGTACCATGGAGTAGATGTTTCGTTGGGGGATTTCTCGTATTCTTCTAGATTTCGTTCTTATAGAGTAAGAGGCCTTGCGTCTTACTGGCAAAGATCTTTGAATTTTAAAGGTGTATATTTAATTTATAGCATAGGATAGGGGCAGATAGCACAGTGGTAGTGACATTCGCCATCACGAGCATGGTGTTAGTTCGATTCTGCTATGGGCCAACCAAACCTCTCATCCTTCCGGGTTCGAGAAATTGATACCGGACTTATCTGGGAAAAAATCACGCTCTGCAATCCGTTTGGAAATGCTCCAGCTCGGCTATGTCAGGACTCCAGGGAGAATTCTCCACCAGCATTCTACGACATCGAATATGAAATAAAAATCCTCAAGCAGGAACCGATGCCACACATGAAGAGTTGGAAGATCTTCTGGACAATCGATGCGAGGAAACGAATCGAATGTGAAAAGTGTTGGGATTCGCGCAGTACAGTGAAGACGTGTCATATAAAATGAGATAAAAGAAAAGAAAGTGAAATTTTTTAATTCGGGTGCGTACAAAGCAGTGGCTAGTTGTACCATACGATACTCACGTGGTCATAGATTCGATAACCCGCCCAAGGTTTAGCAAGCGATCCGTTCCTCCGGGGTCTATAAATTGGTCTATCATTTGTCTGGTAGGATGGTAGCACTGACTCGATAGGTCCCAGTCACTGGGTGACCGAGAGTCATTGTGTAGTAAATATGCATTCATTCACCTCTTACGGTGCTTGATTTGAATGCATGGCGCATCCATCTGGGATGATTCAACGCCGAGGGCTTTATCCTTTAGCCTTTTGTGTTTCAGTTTATGAGGCACATTGTGAGTGTGGATGTTTTTGTTTAAATTTGGACTCAATCATTGTTGGCCACAGGCGATCGTGTACAGTGCACATCTTTCGTTTCGTACTAAGCTAGTGTTTTAGCAAATAGAGGATAGGCGCCCTAAGTGCTCTTCTGACGTTTTTATCACATGTTGGTAAGCTCATAAGCGTTCCTATGTTTAGTGATTCTTCGCCGAGTCGAAACATTACATCTATCTTGCTATGAAACGGTTTTTGATATTTGTAGATAGGTAAACTACGACTCCTCTTATTTCAGCATGAAAGCTGCTCATGTAACGTAGATACACTGAACTTTTTAAAATCTGTCTTTTTCCACATTTAGTCGTTGTATTGTAGTGAAGTAGTATTTTGAAAGTAACTATTGGAATACATTCTGCTTGCAGAATACTTGCATACCCTCTCTTCATTTGCAATCGTGTAGACCTTAGCAAAATTTCCGTTTCACTGGTAATATCCTGTTCGGGTGGGCTTTCTTCGCCTAGAGTGTCAAAGTAGCGGTGTTTCCAAAGCACTGTTACGTTGTTACTACAAAAAATCGTGGGTTTTTGGAAAATATGCCTGCCATGGCAGTGTTGATTCTTGGAATTGGTTTATTTATGCTTATGTTTCTGGAAAGGGCGCGTGTGGGGCAGTGGTTGGAGGTGCCACTACGACTCACACGTGGAATCGATCCTCGCACCCATGGCCCACCAAGTCCTTCATCCTTCTGGGATCGACAAATTGGTTCCAGACTTGTCTGGAAGAATAGCAGCACTGACTCGATACATCGGTAGGCCACCACGAGTCATTTTAAAGACCAGATATGCATTCAGTCACTTCCAACGATACTCAGTGAAGTCGAATGCATGGCGCATCACTTAGAGATTTATCAACGCCGAGGGCTATATCCTTTTTTTAGTTTTTATGTTTCTGGATGGAAATGTCGATTCTCCTTTCAGCTTTGGAAATTTCGCTAGGGTATGAACTCTCTCTGTGTGATTTGCTGCTCGTAGATTTCAAATTTTAGCACATTATTCTTGATTCGATGAAAGCTGGGATGTTAAGGCATGGTTTTGTGTTGTTCCACAAAGTTTTTGAATTTGACATGCTTTTTCTTTGACTGGTCCGGTAGAAGACTGCTGAAATATTTTTTTTTAACAAAAGAATGTTGAACCTGGTTATGTAGAGAGTTCATTTTGCATAACAGCTCTGGTTAACGACAAGATTTCTGCGACACTAGGATGAACACTTCCAATGTCTACACAGCAGTTTAGACAGGCGAAGTATAGTTTGCGGATGTACTGACTTACGGAGATCTTTATTTGGAAACTAGAAGGACTTACGGATTCGTTGACAGATTTTTTTGCAGCATTTTGATTGGAATACTTTCAAATCTTGCTAAAATTCATGTCATGAAATATTCATCTTAAACTTATTTCTTATTAAGTTATATTTTAATTAAAATAGTTCGTTATGGATTGAAGTGTTCATTGATCCATGCCTTATGTCCTAGTTGTACTGTGAACTCTTGTTTCCCACGGTAGATAGAGAGGATCAGTTTTTGCATGAGGGTGTTCATTGCTGTTATTTTTCTTAGCAAAAGGTATCCGAGGAGAACTCATTTGACTTTCTTGTGGGGTAATTTTAATCTTGTCTGTGTTACACCAATGTTTTACCGCGTCATCATGGATGGGTTGTGTTCCTGGAAGTAGAGCAGCAGTGCACAGTGGGAGTTTACTCACATAGTAGCGAAGGAGTTTGGCATTTCTACTCTAAAGCACAAATACTTGGATAATTGGATGGCCCATCTTCACTGGTTGTCAGGGCTCCAAAATAGTTTTCATTCGTTCCTCCCTCGTGAAATCGTGGTCCATGCTTGTGCTAAACCTCGAATATGGTGACGTCAGCGAGTCCCATTCCGTAGTCGCGAAATCGTTGCTATCTGCAAGAACAGATGGTTGACGCTAGCTACGAGTACGTTCGCACATCATTTCGACGGTCTTCTAAAAGAAAGCTTGCATTCTCTTAGAGTCCACTCCGGTGTTTTTTCGTCCATCTTTTATCCGTCCTTCTTATCATGTGACCACCCCATGTGTTCCCGAAAATAATGGAATAGGTTTCGAATATCTGAACTGCGTATTTCGGTTAAATGTTGTGAGTGCCGATTAAATCTCAAAAGACATCATCCAAGCGCTCTATAGGTGGTGCGCAGATTCCCTAAGGGTGGCTGAAACATCAGCCCACCTTTCTGCTGCATAACGGAGTGTTGGGAGGACTGATGAATCGAAATGTTGAGCGCAGAGTTTTAAGGTCGTTAATTTGTCCGTAGCTTCTTTGGATGGCTCGAATGCGGCCATGCTGATCTCCATCTGCTACTCTATCTCTATTCTCTCCTTCATCTTGTTCTCCATGTTCGTTGAGCGTCCAAGGTACACGTACGAGGTGGTCTCTAATCAGAGAACCATCCAATTCGATATTTTCGCCATCGCACCATGACTTCTTCATGAATTGGGTCTTCGTCCTCTTTACGCGCAGTCCAGTCTTTTTTCTTGTTCCGATTTGGCTCATGCCTTCTACGTTTACGAGAACGTATTCAGGAGTGACGTGTAGGTGTGTTCTCGTTATTTCGATTGTATTCTGCGAGTCAATTCGACCAAACAAACTCAAAGTGCAGTAAGGAAGTAGGAACCCCTGTGGACAATTCGACTGGGATCAATCCGGCTCTGAGGAGGACAAAGGGGCCAAGACGTTAGCCGAATAATGTTCTTTATCAACTTCATGTGACAGACGTGGATACTAACCACTATACGACCGTGTCATTAAATCGCATGTGGCGCAGTGGTCGGAGGCGCTCTGCAGCACACAAGTGCAATCGTTCCCCGGGTCTGTGGCCCACCAAGCATTCCATCCCTTCGGCGTCGGGAAATTGGTTCCATACTTGTCTAGGAAGATGGCAGCACTGGCTCGATGAATCGGCAAGTCACTTCGAGTGATTGTAAAGGCCAGATATGCATTCAGTCGTCTCCAAACAATGTTAATGAAGTGGGATGCTTGACGCATCCCTCAGGGAATGATCAACGCCGAGTGCAATTTTTTTTAGCTTCATCAACTTCATGCCATCTTATCGATGGAAGTATGCATATTGAATAGCAGCGGCGTCACAGTCAAGGGAAATTTGATTTTCGCAATAAGAATTTATCGTTTGCTGCCGGAAAATCTGCTTTATTGTGAATGTGTGAAGATTCGAATTCCAAGAAAATTAAGTTCGCAAATACCAGTCATATATTTTAGGAGAGTATCACTTGAGTTCCAGGCGGTCAGGATTTCATATTGGTTTAATAAGTGGACGTAAGTCAGTCATGTCTCAATCATGTCTGTGTATTTGTTTATATTAAGAAAGTTTATTGTAAACTGACATACGTTTGCAAGAGAACATCTCTTTTTAGCCGCTTTTGAACAGAATGGATCCGTGCAGCTCTTTCTCAATCGTTTTCACTTATACGTGGATACTTGGAGGGTCCGTTTTCACTAGTTGTGCGGGCCCCAACATAATTTCCATTCTCGGGAGACATGCTGGTTTAGCCTTTGTGGTTCACTTGTGTTCCGAGGCTCATCATCTCTAACCCAGCTCATCATCACCGTAGGCACTCGCGGCCCTAGTGGATCAGAGGATATTTGCAACCATACTGCTGATTTGATACCAGAACGGTAGTGGATTCTGGTATTGGTTTAAGCTGAGCTTCCTGTTGGAAATGGCGGTCTCTTCAGTTTGGGAGACTGCTGGGTGGATAAATTGCTCCGCTGTACATCGCAGCCCGACACTCAGGAACAACTCCCAGCCACGATGAGGCGGTAAACCGTTGGGAAGTTCAACTTATAGGTCTTTCTAATATTTGGAGTACTCTAAAATGTAAGCAGAACAAACAATGAAAGACAAAGTTTTTTTGAGAATGCCATTTCGCCTAAATCTTCGTCTGTTTGGAGCAAAATACAAATTTTCTGATGGATTGTTGAGTGCTGTTATTTTCAGGAAGACCATCTATCACCACCGAGTGCTGAGGAGTCTGTGAAGCCCCCACCGAAGAAGAAGCAACGAAAAAGAGAAGATAAAAGAGTTTGTAAGGTCTTGTTCTTTTTTTGCAACTTTTACTTGTATCGATGCTTTTATCAGCCACGAGAACAGCAGCTGCCCAACCCTTACCTTGTGGACGAGTCTCTTTTAGACTTGACAGATTTAGGAAAACAAGGAAAGCGATTTCGACAGTTTAGGTGATTACTCAGTGTCAATTCATCTTTCTAAAAATTCACTTCGTTTTCGTAGTAAATACTTAACTGTGCTTTAGTCGAGTCACGTTTACATTGAACGATGCATCGGTAATCCATAACGTGTTTAACAATCCTCGGCTTCGTCAGTTCGATCTCGTAGCAGTGCAGCCGGCTGATGTGAATATTTTGAACACGATTACAAGGAAAACTGACGCCGTAGACATCATCACCATGAACCCAGAAACACACGTAAGTCGAAAGTAGGAAAAATTCACAGAAAATTACTCTCTTTTTAAACAAAGACAACAATTCCATAATGAGACTGTGATGGTGTAGGTGTCATGGTTACACAAACCCAAGTTTCTGGAGATGATTCGTGTTGAAGGCGTAGGATTTGAGATTACATACGCTTCTGCTCTATTTCCTGCCAATCGTAGATCGGTTAGTATTTTTACGTATTTTATGGATTTGAGCTCCGTAAAATGTTCTAATATGGATTTGAGCTCCGTAAAATGTTCTAATTTTTGTCATTTTAAAGATATTTTGTAGCGCTTTAGTGTCTTCACAGTGGGCGACTTCTAATTAGACAACTTCGCGGACGTGGTATTGTACTATCAAGTGGAGCATCATCCATGTGTGAACTGAGAGCACCAGTTGACGTTATGAACATGGCCATGTTATGGGGTGTTTCAGGTTCCGATGCCAGACAGTTAATTAGTGGTAAGTTAGTGTTTGATGGTGATAATCATGGTAGAATCTAGTTTCGCTGGTTCTCTGCAGTGGTGCTTGGTCTGGTTCTATCGAATATACGAGCTCTTTCTGTTTAATTGCATAGTTATCAATTCACGAGCAACCAACTATAGGCAATGCCAAGCAAATTCTATTACGTGCCGAAGCGCGGAAAACGATTGGTGGTACAGTTCACGTGGTTTCATGCAAAACCTGGAATAAAGAGGGCAATACAAGTATTGACGCTTCGATCCCTGCATGTCGAGTTGATAAATCCACTGCTTTACAACGACTACTGAATGTGAAGGAGTTTCGAGCTCAGGTTTGCTTAATTTCCTGTATGCATGTATAAAGTCGGCTCGAACGTTCTGCCTAGTTTTTAACTATTTCATCTACAGACTTTCACCTGAACTTCTACAAGATGCTGCTATTCCAGCCTTTTGCTCTAGTCTGGGGTATAAAATGAAGTGTTCGAGATTTGTCCTTTCTAGTGTATAACGTCATTTCAGGTAGAGGAGATAGCTGTGAAATCGGAAAGCGTCTCTTAAATATTAGCAAGCATGGATATAAGACGAGAGTCATCATTTCTTGAGAAGGTGAAAGAGGTGGTTGTAGTAAGCGGTAACGTCTTCTACGGTTTTCCCTACAAGGAAATGAATGTACGCCGAGTGTATGTATACATTTATTCATCTAACAACTAACTCTTTGGATTGCTAATTTCTAACATCACCTACTGCTCGTTTCTGATAATCATTGAAATCATTGTTGACATTTTCTCATTTATAGTTAATTTGTTTTACTTGATGTGTTTGGTATAAACTGCTGTCGAATTTCCATCTGTATCTATCTGTCGGTTTATTGCAATGAAGCATTTTGTTCCTTTCATAGGTTTATTTTCTTGGCTTATCTTTCCATCATTTGTCTTATTAACTTCTTAAGGATAGACCGTTGAATATATTTCAAGCATGATTTCTTTAACGCACAGGACATCTAAGACGAGTTTTATTTCTTTTTTTAGAATGAAATGGGTTACGAATCTTTGGTTACTATCGAAATGGAAATTCCGCCGTTTGTTCCGTCTTCAGGGTCAATCCATAGCACCAATTCAATGGAGAAAGCCTCTCCTAACATCGTACCCCGACCAGAAATTTTGCGATAGCTTAAATGAAGATCAAAGGAGGAGGTTGCATGCTATCGTTCAGGAGACTCGGGTTTGTGGTTAAGTTTCATGAGAATTTTTAAGAACAAGTAGTTGACTTCTCACCAAATTTCAGACAATTTCAATGCTTACGCTGCACTTCCCTTCCGAAATAACTAGTCAGAATTGGCTTACATTACTTGATTGTCAAACGAGGAAGCAGAGACTCGACTACTTGAAATTTCTTCGGAGCCGAGAACTAGCTCGCGATAAAGATTTGAAGAAGAAGCAGCAAAAGACAGTGGTTCATACTGCAGAAAGGAAAAGTGACGTTGAATCTCCCTACTACCTTCCGGCATCCAAACTGGGTATTCTGTTCATAATCTCGAGGTTGTGAAACAGTGCGTATTTCCTTTTCAAATATCAGTTCTTTTAGCAAAGGAAGAACGAAGTATTGCGTGGCAGAGAGTAGCTCGTGCTCATCGGTGCGGTTCTCCGAGTCTCGTTGTAGATTGTCGCTTCCTTCCACTTCTTTCACCCCGGGGTGCCGAATTGACCGCGTTACAGCTTAAATATCTCATTAGTGAAAATCGAGATGACAGGCTTGAACATTTTTGATAACGTTCCTTACATGTGTCTAGATTTATTCTTGTATTTTAGGACACCTTGGCAGCTGTATTTTACGAATTTCGACGAGTCTCTTCATAGAATAAAAGGCTTGAAAAAGAGGTTTGCGGTTGCCTACCTTGTTATTTTACTTTAGGAAAACGTAGCTGAGAATTGCGAAGGTCAAGAAAGGAATAACCTTTAAAAAAAATGGGAGGGGGGTGGCGCATAGCCGAAAGGAGCGGAGTTTAGATGTAGTTTTCTTTATGCATCCTCACATTTTGAATAGTATAAGACAAAGGCGAAATTGATCGGATTTCAGACATTTGTGCGGAATGGATTCTCCGATGACTTCCTCGCCAGTTGTGTCTTCCCACAGTTTCAGTTCGTTATTTCCACGAGAGAGGATTTTGTATCTTAGTCCAGATGCCGAAGAAGAGTTAACGGATGTCGATGAAGACCATGTGATTTCTTGTTCCTACTTTTATATGAACCGAGGTCCTCAGTGAATTCATTGTTTTAGGTATATGTATTGGGTGGAATTGTTGACCGCGTAGTGGAAAGAAACATACCCCGTCAAGCTTCACTAACAACTGCACTATCTGAACAAGTGACATGCAAAAAGTTACCTCTTGATCGATACGTGAAGTATGTCTTCTTTGGCTACTTTGGAAGTAATCCAAACCTTTTACACCGGATTCCAGATGGAAAAGCGGCACGAAATTTCTCACATTGACGGCTGTTTCCTCCATTCTTCGAACTGTGCATAGTTCAGGAGGCAACTGGGAAAATGCTCTGAGAAGGTGCGTTAAACTGTGCAGGTAGTTTGAGGGCTATTGCGAAACTGTTCTGATTACACTAAGCTGCGTCATATCGCTTTTCAGCCATATTCCAGTTCGCAACATACGACCTTCTGAAGAAAAGTCTATCGTTGGCAGGCAACTCCATGATAGAATACGTCAATTCGACCGGCAATTATTGCAAATACTGGAGTGTGAGGTGGGTAATGAGTCGCTGTAGTCTGTAGGATATCCCTTCCTATAATTTTGATGAGTGGAAACTTCAATACTCAGCTTGAATTACGATGACCTACAGCAACAACCACATCTTTGCTTTTGATTATTGTTAGTGTGGACATAACTTATGGTTTATGCGAAATTGAATGGAATATGCAGACATTGTTGTGAATGAATTGTTATATGTTTATGTTTCAGTATGCATACACTGACTTACTGGTCAAAACCATATCCTATTAACTGTTGAACAAGTTCTAACCATGTTGGTAACGTGTAGTACAGAATACATCATTTTGTATTCGGTCCGATCAGCACGTTCTTCGTATGAAGATTCATTTATAAGCTAAAAAAGAACTGTCACTAACCCAGAGTGATAATGCGAGTTGTATATTACATGCTGAGGGGAATTTTATATGAACACAAGAATGTTAACCTCTTCTTTGCTGCCTACCATAATTTTCACGGCAGGGTATGATGTGAAACACAACCGCAACGATGCTGAGATATTCGCAAAACTTGAACCTCGGACCAGATCGAACCACGATTACCAGTTTCAAGGCCTAATATCAGAGAGAGAGAGGAGGGAAGTTGCAGAATGGACGATGCCAAACTTTTCTTCCTGCTCACTGTGACACCTTTGGCTGTCACACAGGCCACTTTGGCAGATTTTATCAATACCGCTGATTTTTGTTGTGATTGCTGTTCCATAAATCGGCGTTCCCTGCGTTTTATAAGAATCCTTGCGATTCTCTTATGCCATATATGCTCCAAGTTCTTCTATACACGTTCTATGGTTTTTGTTCATGTACAACTCATGTGTACGAAGAAAAAATATGTCCGCTGTGCCACCATACTGCTGTCAGCGTTTAAGGAAGTTTTATAATTTATGCAAGGAATATTACGATGTTTATCTTGTGGTTTTGATACCTTGTCATTTCATGCCGTTCCCAAAAGTCATCAAACTTTGATACTTGGATACCTGGATGGCCCGTCTTCCCTGCTTGCACGGGTTACAACATAATTTCCACTTTTTCGGAGTTTTGCTGGTTTAGCCGCTGTAGTTCCCTGGAGTCCCAAGGAGTTCCCAACTTCAATATGACACGTATAAATATCATTTGTCGCAAGATGTTAAGGAATTTGAAATTGCGCGCTTACTTCTTTAACTCAACAGTTCGCTCAGCACTATGTTATGCATTAGAGATGGGAATTCACACCTACCTCACACGCGCCAAGAATTTTGCACTCCACGCATTAAACGGGGCAACTTCTTTTCTAAACACAAACTGCAAATACAATACTTTGTGGGAATTGCAGTTTAGACTAAAGATTGTCTCTTAATCTGAACACAAGGGAAGATATATCGAAACCAAACATAGGTCAACCTACCGTCTGAGGAGAATCGACGACAGATCGACAAGAGGAACAGCAGGATGGACTCCTTGCTGACTCGGATGTTCTCTAGGACCACTTAAAATCAAACTCTTCGAAGGTCATGGAATGATACTCGGATACGTTAGTATACTCGAAACAGGCCTTTACTGCAGATGGTAATCGCGGGACAAAGAAACGTTTAGAATTCGCTACAACTCACAATACTTCTGATAACATGTTGTCCGAGTATCCAAATATGTTTGAACAAATATACATGCCTAACTAACGATAGCCCTACCAAAGGCCTTCTTGTGTTAGTTCTGTACCATTCCAGATAAAATCATAAACTGTAGAAAAATGGTTGCAGTGGGTTGTTTTTTTTTTTTTTTTTTTTTTGAAAGATCTGCATCAAAGCACGTTTGATGACTAACATTTCTTGGTTGTACATTTATTTCTATAAACACAGCTTGAGTTTATCGATAAGCACCGGTGATTCCTCCATTACTAGAGACCTAACTAATAGGTACGCTAGAATTTTACCGTCATAAGAGATGGATTTCCATCTTGTTGGAAAGAATTTTAAATTCAGATGTCTACTACTTTGATTTAAGAAATCTACCATGAGCTGGTACATATTTGAAGGGTGGCTAGAGTGTTTTTGGCTAAGTATAAGTCATGTTTAACTTGTATTGCCACAAGTGTGTTGAGAGCAACTATAACTAGGCAAAGCAATGATCATATCAGGAGTGTGAGTTTCATATGAAAAAACGTCAACTACGGTTTCTTTAACGCTGAATGAAAAAATTTGGCTACAAAAACTCGTATTGTACAAAGGCGTATCAAAATAAAAATACGAAAGAAACACATCTGCATTCAATGTGTAGTTAAGGGTCCGGATAAAATGAGAACAACGAAGATGTACAGACCAGTCTACAAACCACAGAGTAAAATGAAATTTTGAGAAGAAACCTTAGAGATTGAACCACATCGGAGGATTGCGTAAGTTTCATGGTCGCGTGACTCCTATATAGCGAAATTAACAAGCTGACTCGAAGCCAGGAAGTCCTGTGAAAATGGCGACTCTATCGAGCTAAACATATTTTGGTTAATTTAAATAATCTTACGTGGATAGCACTCGTGACGAAAAAAAAATGGAACTTCTCTATTCAGTGAAACTTGAAGTACCTTAAAATCCTTCCAGGCATCACATAGCTGCACAACAAAACCATCGACATGTGCACAAGGCAGTACATATTGCCCTTCATCTTTGTAGTTTAGCTCTCTGGGGAAAGCAGTCATATAAGCGAATTCCGAACCCAAATCCGTATCAGGACTGCAAAGTGTGGGATGGCATTAGAAGAGAGCGAATAATGGAAGTGCTAAGTAAAAAAAAAGATACCTTAAACTATCCAGGAATCCAGATGGAGTTTTGTCTTCCGATGTACTGGTTTTACCAGTCAAATATTCGCCATCAGAAGATGTGCAAAGCAATTTCTGCAATTCCAACTCAATTTTGTCCACCGCACCAGATGAAGCGTCCACGAACGAATTTTGTGATGGTGATTTGAATACCGTAAAGGCCTAGATCGGTAATTTCTATATGTAACCTTCTTAAACATAACTAAAGAAAAAAACGGACCGATGTTTCGCTCAGACTTATTCTTGACGACCTTTCTTTTGGAGCAACATAAACTGGACGATTAATGAGAGGAAGTGCTGGTTGTGCGGGAATAGCAATAGGGTGTGCTATATGTGGAAGTTCCCTTTCAACACAACTATGATGAACAGTATTATTCGATCCTAAAGAATAAGCAGGATTTAAATATCTCGAAATATGGAAGTACGGCTCACCTGTACGTGTGCTATGAGCATTCTTACTCAGAGGGCTATGAGCTAACGGACGAAAATGACTTGCGCGAGCATTTTGAACATTTTCTGTCGAAGAGTATCGTGAAGTAGTTGGCGGATGGATAGCACACTGGGTGCTGTAACTAGACGACATCTGCGTATTGAAATTCGGTACACTAGGTCCTGTGAGCGATGCAACCTCAGAGGAAGTGTTTGCGGTTTTCTGCAATACCAACGTGAATAATCGTAGACTGAAGCCAACATATCTTTTCCTGATGTTTTTTAAAAGCTCTCCTGGCTTTTCTTTGACAACCCATACATAAACGTACTATTGACTGGTTCTTTTCATAGCCAGGATATGATGTGCCAGTAAATGCAGACGTCGAAAACAACGCATCCATGACCTCTGATATGTCTGCTGGAGCATTTGAAACCGCTTCAAAAAACAGAAGTTAACATAAATCTAATAGTGAAACAAGCAGCATTCCACATACGAACATTTGCTTTGTACGTATCCAAAAACGGACGAGGAAGTTCTCGGTCTTAACTGCTTTCGATCATTGGCAGCCTGCATGTCATAAAATTACCTTGGGAATTCTAAAGTAAGGAGCGCTAACATCACTAAATAAGGTAAGTAAAGTAAAGTTCAAAAAACTTACAGCAACCATTCGTTTCTCCTGTTCTTTGACAATATACTTTTGCAGATCTTGCACAAATGGCACAACAGTATAAAAATTGTTATTAGACAGTCTTCTCAGCCGGTTTGACTGGTCATTACGATCCGTTGGAAGATCCCAGACATTAAACCATTGTATTTTTCTGAACTAAGCAAAAACATTACGTTGACAACTTTGCGAAGATGTTGGTATGTACAAATCAGAAATTAAGAAGTTGCATTATAAACAGCATGCACAGATTCGGCATTTTAGAAGCGCCAACGGTATTAAACAAGATACTACATCTTCATTAGTTACTTGGATAGTTGGATTGCTTGTCCACACTGGTTGTGCGGGCCCAAACATAATTTCCACTCTCCGGAGATATGTCGGTTTAGCCACTGTGGTTCGCTGGAGTCCCGTGGACAGACTGGCCAAAGCCTGTCCCAGGTCATCACCACCACAGGCAGTCGCGGCTCTTGTGGAACATAAGGAGATTAACCACCATACGACTACTTTGGCATCAGGATGGTAACGGATCCTGGTATTGGTTTACTCTTAGCTAGGCTTCCTGATGGAAACGCCGCACTCCCCAGCCTGAGAGACCTTGATGGGCCGATGAATCCCTCCGCTGTACATCGCAGCTCGACATCCAGGAACACCTCCCAGCCACGATGAGGCGGTAAACCGTTGGAAGGATCTTTACTAGTTATGAATCAATAATAAGAAACAAATACACAAGCGTATTATAACTGCGGAATTAGTAGGAAAATTAAGAAGACATGGGCTACCTTACCTTATCTCATTACGAGTTTGTGGCGCAAATGGAAAGTCAGTAGGTACGTCAGGCACAATATATAGCCGGACCATTGTCTCGTTTACAAATTTCTGTAGCTTTTTCTCACACCCACGAGGGCAGTGTTCATCGAAATTAAATCCTGTCTCCTCGAACACCTCCCGAACAGCGCAACTGCGAGGTTCCTCACCTTCGTTGACCTTCAAATATTTTACTGAAGAAAAAAGTGAACGTTGAAGTTCCACTACAAAACATATAAAACACTAATCGAATATTCTAATGGGTAGTTAGTAGTAAATCACTCTACCTTTCCTTTTGGAAAGCCCCAACTATTTTTGCTTGCATAAAATCCTTGAACAAGGAGTACATAATTTAACGATTCATCAAGAAGAATCGCCCCATATGTGGGAACGGTCGATTTGTACCAGCGCCACTCATCAATCACCTACAAATAATATGATAAAAGCTGAGGACTAATGCAAACGAGGATACAAACAAAGAAGTTTATATGAAGCACCTGATCTACAGTTGCCGCATAAGGTGCGAGCTCATCACAGTGTTTGAAGATTTGCCTGACGGTGAAGTATGGATATTAAGGTGATCGATGCATATAGTTGAAGTAGCATTGAAAATGTGCATACCTTGCAAATTCCCGCATCCCCATTTGTACACAGTCTTTCCTTTCCTCTTGTTTACAATAGAAATCGATATAGAACCAATGAGCCAATTCGACTTGGAAACACATTCGAACCTTGTCCGACTTCTGGAACGAAGTTGAAACAGTTCGTCTCGCAAAAAACGAACAAAAAAGGCTCGTCGTCACAACTAATACTTACTTCCTCATCGGGAATGTTTGCGAGAAACCGAAATGTAAGATCTTGTAGCACTTCTGGTGGAATACGAGGAGCCGTTTGTGATGCTTTTGTGGGACTTACTGACCATAACGAGTAAGGAACAGCAGAAGGGTGATTCTGCTAAAGTGTGATGTAAGAGGATATGTTTCGCCACAAAATAATCAGGAGAACAAAACCACTAACAAAATTTTTGAGCACTTTTCGCAAAATCGACGGTCGTTCCGCCTCCTTCGTACCCATTTGGCTTTCGTTCATTCGTGTTTTCACACTGCTTATACATTCACCACAACAATGTTCCTGCACTGGAGCATTCTATAAACATCATATAAAATAAAAAGCCCTAGACACAAGCCTAACAACAGTTGTATCAGAAGTAAAAAAATGTGAAAGACATCCATGACAACTGCACGAAATTGATCCCCATTACTCTGCATGTATAAACACCAACTGAAGTTGGGTGGACATGTAGTGCATGTTGAAATCGCGTTGTATCAAACATGACAACCAGCATACTTTCGTTCCACTACTTTATTCTACACTACCCCTCACCATATCTACTGTGCGGACCGCAGAACATTTTGCACTCAATTCGGTTACTGCTATCCATCATCGACGAAGGACTTCGAACCTACGCTTGTGGGTTCTTCTGTCGTGTACCGATTTTTGCCTTCGCTCGTTAAACGGTGGTCGATTATATTCTCCTTGAAGTTCTACGACAGCCGAGCTATGGCGCACCCAGGTGGACTGGAGAAAGTGATTTAGTCCCAAACTGGTAAGTAGTAATTTCTCGAACCAGCAGGAGTGGAGAGGCTTGGGAGTCCAAGGAATAGTTGAGTTAGCAAGCTGTTCGTGATGAACGGCAATTATTACTACTTCACTACTCCTCTCCTACTATCCTCTAATTTAGAAAGATATATGTGTTATCTCTCCCAATGGTTTACCGCCACATCGTGACTCAGAGGTGTTCCTGGGGGTGGAGGTGCGATGTACAGCGGGAAATTCATCCCTCTGGAAGGGCCTCCCATGCTGAGAATGAGTACGGCGGTTCCGTCAAGAAACTAAGCTAAGAGCAGACCAATACCAGAATCCATCATCGTCTGATATCAAAGTAGTCGCATGGTGGCAAACCTCCCTCTGATCCACAAGGACGGCGGTGACGACCTGGGGCAGACTTTGGCCAGGCGTACCACAGGACTCCAGGAAAACGCAATGGCTAGACCAGCAAAATTGCGAAAAATGGAGAATATGCTGGAGCCCGCACAACTAGTGAGGACCAGCCGTACAAGTAACTAATTAAGTAAGTATTTGTTATCACACTGCTACCAATACGGAAGATAATGTCTATAACTGACAAATGAATGATACCCAGAAGATGAAATTCTTATCATACCTTCTTCATTACTTGAGAAGAAAAAGAATGCTGTTGAAAAATACGAGCCTGGTGTTGAACTCCACTTCCTTTCTTTCCGGAGTCAAGTTTCTGCTTTGTAGAATTATGATCCACTTTAGATTTCTGGTTCTGTTTCGAGGAAGTTGGTGTATTTTGAGTGGACTTTCCCTGAAATGTGAGGCAATTTCTACACTCATAAATTTTCGAAAATTGTAAGGGCGTGGTCGCTGATATACCGATGTATTAATTGCATGTCGAAGAGAAATAAAGGTCGCCCATCAAAATGTTCCTCCGATATATTCTGGCTAACATTAATCCGACTGCTACAAGGTAAATCTTCTCTACAGAACTTGGTGGGATTAAGAATTCTCACAGATAAAAGGAAATAACAGTGCTGCAGACATCAACCACGAATTATTGCGGCAATGAGTAAGGCAATGGCGTCGAAACGTTACCCATAATAAAGCACTAGAAAACACCACTCTGGACGAAACGGTGACTGCTCATTTGCTTCCTCGTTACCAATACGAACAATGAAGCAGTGAAATGAGATAAATACATGTCATGGGCTGCTAAAAACACACTTGCATCCTGGTAGGAGAAACGATAAAGGATAAAGCTTTCGGCCTTGATCAATCGCTGAGGGATGCACCATGCATTCGACTTCATTAAGCATCGTTGGAGGTGAATGAATGCATATCTGGCCCTTAGAATGACCCGTGGTGGCCTACCGATGGCTTGGTGAGCCTTGGGCACGAGGACCGATCCCAGGTTTAGTGGCAAGGGACCTCAGAGCATAGCGCTACACGCATCTCTGCCATCCTAGCAGAACAAAATAAATTGCATCTTTGGTCTGAAGATTCGAATGGCTTTCTTTTTGCATCACTTACATTGCATAGAATGTTACTGAAGAGTTCTGCGTGAAAACTGCGCATTTCACGTTCGTATCTGCTTCAGTGAAATACCACATAGCAAAGTCGAAACTAGTCTACCTGAGCTTTGTTTAATGCAGCTAACAGTTTTGTGGTTGGTGACTGCTGTACCGACGGTGGAGCAGGAGACTTGCTAATGCTGTCAGCCACTCTACGTCGAGCATTCTTCTGCAAGGTTTCAACTCATCATTCACCCTATCGAAGGTTCCAGTCTCGAAAGAGAACTCAAACTACAAGATCTATGAATAGGAGCCGAATTTCTTGACAAGTCAAACACACGAAATGTTTACCTTGGTATTTAGAGTCATACCTGTGCCTTCCATGATAGAATAATATTTCTTATCTGAAAAGTTTCAACAATTCATGTGTTCAAATACAAGGTCCGATCTCACATAAAAATGAGGTCAATAGATTGTATGCTCTGTTCAGACGACTTAAAACATAATTCCAGATGCTGTGAGAGAAGATAAGTGGATAAGGGACAAAGCTTTCGCCGTTGATCAATCCCCGAAAGATGCGCCATTCGACTTCATCAAGCACCGCTGAAGGTGACTGAATGCATACCTGGCCTTTACAATGACTCGCGGTGGCCTACCGATGTATCGAGCAAGTGCTGCTATCCTCCCAGACAAGTCTGGTACCAATTTATCCACCTCGGAGAGATCAAAGGTTTGGTGGGCATGGGACGTAGGGATGGTCCCATGTGTATTGCACGGCGCCCCTGACCACTGCGTTACACGCGCCTTGCGAGAGAATACATGGCCGAGAAAACGGAGCTTAGAAAGAAAATTTGTGGTAAACAGAAAAAACTGACTGGATCACACCCGGTTCCGTAAGCACACTATCCGTTACAGGATAGACGTCTAAAACTTGCATGGACGGTCTCTTTCTTTTGTCTTAACCATTCAATTCGCTTACATGACTCATTGATTTGACAAACATTCATTTTTCAGGGCCATTTTTTTAAGAATTGGTGCCAAATAGACCCACTTTAGCTAAGCAGTATTAAGCTATCTCCTTCAGATTGAAGATCATTGTAGTTATTTGTATAATCCAATTTTATACTGAACTCCTGAGGTACGTATTGTTATCGGAGGTACGACATAAAAATGCTTAATAGTCTTTTTCGCCACCATGCATATAAAGTTGAAAAAGCTTCTATTCTTAGTGGCCTCGTGGCAATTCCAACCTTGAACTTCGAACGAGTGGAGTCTCACGAAGATAATCTTGCCCTCGTTTAAACTTTTGTCTTTAGAAACATTCAAATTATTAATTCGTATATATATGTATATATATACATATATGTTTTTGTCCTTTTTGCTTTTTTTACTGCCCTTTTTAGCCGACTAGAGGTTGCTATAGATGTTCTTATTATCGTTGTTGCTGTTGTTGTTGCCGTTGGTGATGTTGTTGTTCAATGGTTGACGTTTCGGCGACTTCGCCTTCCTCAGAGCTGTGCCGTCGGACCACCCGTGTTTTGTTCACGAAGGATCAAAAATGTTAATATTATAATCAATATTATGTGTCGTTCAAATATCAATATTATTTTCAATATTATTATTAGTGTGGTCAATTAACTAATCACAATTATTATTGCTTAAATTAAATTAAACTATTATTATTAATTATTAATTAAATTGCTACTGAGGTGTGCTTCTGTGATTGTTTCCGGTTTAAGTCCTTAACAATTTTAATGAGAAGCGCATCGAGCAGACTTCGAATCCGAAAGCACTCGTTGCCGACGTGTTTGTACGTGTGGCCTTCTCCCTGATGAAGCCGCTCGAAGGCATTTTGAGGTGTAGATGCTGTTCGAAATTTAACCTGATTTTTTATAGTAAGCTTGAGATTAACTATAATCAAAAGGGCGAAGGGAACAGAAGAAACTATTAGAAGACGCAAAATTGTTGAACTCTGTTCTTAATTTTATGGTTAGCACTGGAAAATTCTAACAGAATAATGGCTGGCTTCTCTGTTCTCTGCAAAACGCAACACTTGGGTCGACGTTTAAGATCGACAGCACGGTGGTAGTGGTGCAGTTGAGTACGAGCAAGGTGGTGATTCGAGCGCACCCCGAGCTGATGAAGACTTGTTCGTGATCAGCACGTCCAGTAATCCATAAAAGCTGGTGACTGCTTGTGATAAAGGCTTTGGAGCGCTCCCCTGTTATTCCAAAGCTGTAAGGAGAATTAATTTGATCAGAATTGAAGGACATTCATGTGGAACACCGGAAATCCACAAGCGCCAATAAAGCTCACACGCAGAGACTAAAAGATATGTGGGAATGAATCGAATGCAAGAGTTGTTGGGATCCGCACAACATGTGATATCAGTTTGTGTAAGAACTAAATAAGTTAACGATTTATTAAATGTCATTTTCAAGATACTGCGCTATTTTTTGGATAGATCTAGGATCTCGCTCCGCCAGAAAGACAGGGACTCTGCCGGAGAAATCTATCGAGGAGTTTTTTCGTAATCGTCGAGCTTGTTGCTACAGAAAGAACTTTTGACAAGCGGTTGCTGAAAAGTGTTTGCAAGTCAACTCTACATCATATGGTTGAACATGATCATGCAAAGACTTGACTCCGATTTTTTGTTTTGCTCGCTTCTCCTCCCTGATGGCTGCGTGTATACGGACTTCCTGCGTTTAGTTATCGGCGCTTACCACCTTGTCCGGCTTGATCAGCAGATAACAGGCAACATGAACCTTTGCTCGTCTGGATCTAGTTGCAAATGAGTCGATGTTACTGTGTTATCGAGAAGGTGTGATATAGGTTTCTCTCGAGTCAGCCCCAACACTTCTCATCTCCACTCGGGAAATAGCGTTTTGCATATTAAGCAGCAGAAATTCTTGACTACTGGCTATCGCGTGATCATTCAAAATATGTGGTGTCCAACGGCATATGGTTTTGGAGAAGCACATCGAACTGATGTAGAGGTCGACGCGAACTGATCTTAATGCCTTCTTAATCAAGTCGCCCGTGCCAGACTTCAGGCACAACTTATGCTCGACGCATAGTGTGTTCATCAGACGTGAATTGCACTTCCGACTGAGCTGCGCCATCTGCATCACGAAGCAGAGCTACATTTTCCGTTTGTCTGTGGTGCTCAGTCTGAATGTCGTCCTACTCATCAGAGCACTGCGTGAAACACGTGGTCGCAGAACATGATGCTTCAAATTTGTCGATCGTCAGTTCTGATTCCCGTCTTGCTCTATGCATTCTCGCCGTTTTTTTACACCGTTTTTATCAAGGCAAAAGCTCCAGCTGGAACACATTTCACTGCTTCCAATGTCCGGCTGCGATGTACAGCTGGTGGATTCATTCCCCGGCAAGGCCTCCCACGCTGAGAACGAGTCCGGCGTTTCCGTCAGGAAGGCCAGCTAAAAATAAACCAATACCAGGACCCACCACCGTCCTGCTACCAAACTAGTCGCATGGTGGTAAATCTCGCTCTGATCCACAAGGGTGGCGACTGCCTGTGCTGGTGACGACCTGGGGCAGGCTTTGGCCTGACTGACATTGGAGCTCCAGAGAACCACAGTGGTTAAGCCAACAAAAATCCGAAAAATGAAAATTTTGCTGGGGCCCACAAAAGTAGTGAGGACGGGCCATCTAAGTGTCGAAGTATCCAAATACAAACCAGCTTGAGAGTGGATGAAGAAGTTCTAAGCCAAATTCATATATAACCACACTTTAGCGTAATACTACCTGGTTAAGTTATTACTGTATCATTGTTTTATTCGATTGTTGTATTAGAAACTGAAATTTAAGACTTGGAATCCTAAATCTGTATAGCTAAGTGGCTACTAGGACTAAAAATGCTCCATTTTATTTCTAAAAATTAGTAGACAGTAAATAAGTGACTAGAAAGGCAGAACGAGGACCTCAATTGTGCCGTGTGTGACGCGTGAGCCCGTGAAAAGGGTGGTCACGTGTTCGAATTTGGCCTGGAATCCAGGTTTTACAAATATCTCAGCATCATTGTGGTTGCATTTCTCATAATACGTTCCCGTGAAAAAATAATGGGTAGTAGATAGAAAGTTAGGTGTAACGAAAAAAAGATAAGAGACGTTCAGTTTCTTCGTCGCACTCGTTAGCAGATGAGATCAGTTGATATCAACTGATCCGGTGGCCTGCGGTGCGAGAAATGACCCGCTTCGTTCCCTGTACTTCGCACTCTGCAGTTCCATTTTTCTACACTTTTTACTGGTCATTCCAGGTTTTCTTCTTTGTTTTTTGTGTGTCTTCGTAATTCTCTCGCCTACTCTCATACTTTCGACATTCAGAAGTCTGAGATATGGTGACAAAAATCCTCCATCACCCAACCATGGTGCTCTCAGTGTTTGGTATTTGGTTTCGTAGCACATGATTTTTGTTACACAACAAAACGCCACTTATTGCGCGGTTCCCAACACTTTCCGTCCGATTCGTGTCCTCACATTCTTCTTCTATAAAGTTGCTCAGATTAATAAGTGGGTTCGGCTTATGCTTTTTTTACTTTTCTTTATAAATGTCGTTAAATGCTAGTTATAGTCTAATAGTCTAGTCTATTCTTTTTGGAATCCTTAGATAGCCTTGCTAGCGTGTTCCCAGGTTTTCACCACAGACAGTGGTCAGCCTTTGTAGACTAGTTGGCAGGGCTAGTTGTTTTGGAGGAGAATCGAAACATGGCCATGCGCGTGCCTGCAGGCATCTCTCCCGGCTGCGCCCATTCACAACGCATGGTGCATAATTCGGCATCTTACCAACTTGTTCCATACGATGTTCACAATTTACTACAGTTATTGGAGTTGAAATAGCGATTAACTACTGGTTAGAGTTGATTTTCATATGCTTGCAAGATAATGGACGATAATGAGTTCGGTACAAATTCCAATAATTTTTCCATAAGTCCTTGAGGAATTTGGAACTTGACAGATTTATAGAACTGACTTTGCTCTATCGCTGAAAATGTATGTACACGTTTTGTAACCCTAATTTTAAATTTTGTCGGTTTTTAAATTTCCAAAAAAAAAGATTGGAAAGATAGGGAAGAGGTACGTCATTCGTTGTGTTGCTGGAGTAAATCTTACCTGCATAGTGGCTTTGGAGCTCGAATTACTTACTTACTTGGTACTTGAACGGACCGTCCTCACTAGTTGTGCGGGACCCAGCATAATCACGATTTTTCGGAGATTTGCTGGTCAAGCCATTGTGGTTCCCTGGAATCCCGAGGACAGCCTGGCCAAAGTCTGCCCCAAGTCTTCACCACCACAGGCAGTCGCGGCCTTTGTGGATCAGAACGAGATTTACCACTGTGTGATTTTGATACCAGGACGGTGGTGGATCCTGGTCTATGCTTCCTGATGGAAACACCAGACTCATTCTCAGCTTGGGAGACCCTGCCGTGGGGATGAATCTCCCCGTTGTACATCGCAGTCCGACACCCAGGAACACCTCCCAGCCACGATGAGGCGGTTAACCGTTGGGAGAGAGCTCGAATCACTTGTAGGAAAAATCGATTCTTGTCAGGTTAAAACAAATCATGGCTTGACGTTCGTAGAATAAAATCTTACATGTTGTTTGAATATTTAGATCGATTTTTATTTCAGTAAATTGGGCTCCGTACAAGTTGGGACATGATAATTTGAAAATGAAGCGGTGAATTACTATCGGTACCAAGCAATAGCCTCTGAGACGATAAACTGGTAGACCGCTGGCAGATAACGATCATAGTGATTACAAAGAGAGAAGAATAAATAATTTTAAATGAGTTTATCGGGTCTTTCCAAGCTGTTTTTTTTCATTAGAAATGGTCGGGTAATCAATCTACAAAGCTGGTGAGAGTGTGTGTTGTGATGGATTTTTCATGTCTTTTGGAGAGGCGCATTCACCCCAGTCCTTGCACATAGGAGGCACAAGTACCTGTCCAAGACATTCGTTTCACTTGTGCATTGAAAATCGTACACAACATTGAAAGGCCACACATACAGGAGCTTGTGTATGCCGGCAAGTCCGTATCGAGAAGTGAAATGGGTGAAGGACAGGCGAAAGGACTACCTGCGTGCATAATTCACTCTTTGCGGAGGAATGGGTCGTTAGAAACCGAACAGAATAGGATAGGGAATAATGGCGCTGAGATGGAAACATGAGAGTGGCATCACTACGGTGTCAACGCCACTTGTGGCGTGAGCCTTTCCGTCAGTTCCTCAAGGTCACGATTTGCCAAGCGATGCGACCGGCAGGAATTCCCCGCGAACACAAGCGTTGAGCTGTGCTCCTATTCTCCGTATTTCAGGAAAACTAGCAACTCGTCCCTTAATGTTTCCTTCTACTGCTTAAGTATACGCGATTTTGTCTTTCAATAGTTTTTAGGGTAGGTTCTAGACGTTGTAAGTATCGTTTAGGTTTTATTTTGTGCCTACTTCTACCTTTTTACAGCAGGGTATTGTTTGAGATGCACCCACAGTGATGATCAGATAAGAACAAAACTCCGAACCCCAGCTGAGCTTCGAACCCTCGATTATCCTTTCCAGGGGCTCACGTATTATCCACTGCTTCACCGTGGTCTCTGCTTTGTTTTTCTCCCAGCAAGTTTTTTACCCTAACGGTGTCATCAGCAATCACCTGTCAATGATAATGATCTGGGCAGCGCATAGCAGATTTGGAAGAGAAAGATAATAGGCTAAATAAAAGTTAAACATTATGATTTTCTTGCTGATGGCAAAAGATCGATAGAACCAGCTGAGAGATAGGCGAAACGAAGGAGCCGCATGGTGTGGTGGTATGCGTTACTCCCCGGAAAGGACAATGGCGCGTTCGTTCCCTACCGCAGACATCTGCGGTCCAGAGTTTTGCAAATATATCAGCATCATTGAAGTTATATTGTGATTTTCGACTGCAGCTTCAGCTTAACTGGGTTCAATGTCGATTTGTGCTCCTCGAATCATTCACGCTAACAAGTGACTGTAGGAGCACCGTTAGGTTAAAAAACTGGCTGGAGAACGGCAAAGAAGGGGTGTTAGCGGTGAAGTGGATAACACGTGAGTCTCCGTCAATGGTAATCGCAGATTTGAAGCTTAATTGGGGTTCCGAGTTTTGCTCATATCGTAGCATTATTGTGAATTGAAATGCAGTCCTCTTTGACCACCGTATTTATAATTTCGTTGGAATGTAATGAGAAGAGGAGTTAGAAATAGAACCGTACTTAGAAACACATTGATAGTCTCGTTGTTCTTTTACTAAAATAACTTTTGACGTAGATTATGCAAATATACTACGGCCACACCCATAGTTTTTTTCAATGGTTTGTCATTCTAACATAGCAAAGAGATGCTCCTAATGTGTGTTCCATATTCAAATACAGTAGGGACATTGTACACTCCTTAATGGCAGCAGTCTCTGTGGTGGTCTCTTCACCAGCAACATTCATCACCAAATTCGTTCTGAAAATTGTTCTGTGTGAATTACTAGTCTAGAGAATGGTTTTTCAGATCCGACGCCTATCACAGCGGTTTGTGTTGGATAAATCATTGATTGCAAAAATAAGTCATAAAACTACCTTGCTGTCCATCTTCCCTAACTTGATATGTGGGGATAGGGACGTGGTTGTTGAAGAGATCGAACTAGAAAGGGGCAAAAGTATAGTGCTGAGTGAAGCTACAACGTTAGTCGAGCGATGCTCCACCTCGTTAGATTGGACTCGGTGCAACCACGAACAATGGCATCGCAAGAATGAATGACTGTAGACAATCGACTCGAATCACTACATCACCGATGAACAGGAAGGCATCGAAACGTTTATGGAATAGATTTTTATAGCAACCTCATGTAAAACTATCAGTTAATTAATACGTCCATGGTTCGACAACAGCCTGGGCCAATGAAGTTTCTCATCCTACTGGGTTCGGCTAATTTAACCAGCCTTTCTGAGGAGGAGCTCCCTTAGAGCCGCCGACTGTCTGTGGTGAAGATTTCAGAACGCTCTAACATAGTTATACCAGGATACCATGGAGAATTGACTCGACCGTTATTCAACTACATTCGTAAAGAAGTCACATTGCTGTATTAGGAACTGAACACACACAAAAATCCGAAGACTTTCATGGATGAAGTGTGCGAGATAATAAACGGAATGAACTGTTAGGATCTACAAAGTGAGGTTCTATAAGTAGAAATAAACACGGAAAGATTTTTGATTCTTTATCATTTGGAGTCACGTATTCCACCATTGATCCTGCAAATTTGTGTAGATGTACAAAAACTATGAAAATCAACTGCCTTACTGATTACTTAGTTTGTAGGTGGTTGGCCAACGTTACAGTAATATTCCAGCCTTCTTAAGGGTTTAACTTCAGGTTCAGTTATTAGACAAATTAATTGACAACTAACGGCTTAATCAACAATTAACCTTTTCCTTAAAGTACTTTGTTGTACTGTTCTTAGTGCTGATGTGCTGAATTCCGAGTTCTTGTATTCATGATTCACTTACACCGGCCTCTTACCACATTTATCTGACTTTCTGAAATTTCAGGGAAATGTCTTAACGTGTGAAGACTTTGGAGCTTCTTGGTTTCTTCACAGCTGAAGTCATTTTGATCTGCGGCGTACTTCAAGCACGTCTTTTACATCATAATAATACCGTACTCTTGTTTTCGTCATGCTAGCAAAAGCTTTAAGAAGCATTTCCCTAGAAGACACCCATTTAAACATGAGTCATGATTTAGCCTAAACCTGTTTCGATAAGTCGAAGATAGTCTTACGAAGCCGTTAGTGTAAAAGCCGCCCATTTTACAGCAAGTTGTGACTATTCTCCAGAATTCATACGGAGTTAGCTTCTGTGTGTTTCTCAGACATGCCTGTTTTCGGTTTCTTTTAGAAATCTCAGTTATGCTTTGAATCGGATGTACACTAAGTGAAGTGCTTTTGCGTGGCTTTGCGTGAATTTTGGATAGTTTCGCATCAATATTTGATGCATAAAAACAAAACCTAACTATCCAAGTGGCTTTCTTTATTGTATTCATGAGCTTACAGGAGCTTGTCAAGAAAAGCTCCTTATTGTGGCTAACGTTTAACGCCTTCGTCTTCTTCATAGTCGCAATAACTCAAGCCAAAGGTCCATAGCAGTTGTTGTTCCTCATGCGGAATCGCGCAGTCACATTGAATCGAATCCACTGGAGTGGATACCGCACGAATGAAGTAGCTGCGCTCGGCAGTTTCCTTTCATATAGCACATCTCTTTATTGATTGTCCCTTGACAGCAATTGATACCCAATGAACAACTGACTGTCCCTTGACAATCATTAATTTCCTCTAAGTAGTCCATCCTGGAGCAGTTGACATTGTAGTAGATCACATATAACCAAGCATTATTTTCTAAAACCTGTTTTCATTTGACCTCCACATGAATAATCAACATTTTGTGGTTAGTACAGTATAATGGGTGCGTAGACAGCGACAGTGCTTTTGGTGCCGTTAAATACACTTTACGCACTGGTTCGACCTCGCACCTGGTCCACCAAGCCCTACAACCCTGAGAGGCGGAGAAATTGATATACGCATGGGATCTATTCCCTCCCTGCAGTCCATAGAAGATGGCGAATGGATATGGTGAAGATTTGAAGGATTTCTAGCATATCTATCCACGGAACATCAACCTGAATAGCATTTAAGGGCATTCATAAAAAAGACCAAAATCTTTAAGTAGCAACGCCAAATGAGATGTGGGTTCATTTAAAAACAAAACATAGAGAAAGGATGATATTGCAATAGGAGATAACAATTAGTTGTCTAGGTAACTCTTTTATGACCTATATTTGCGACCACAGTAGACTCTGCGAGTGCCAGATGTTGTAGGCAGGTGACAAAAATTCTGGTTTCTGTTTATCTCCAGTCACTTTTCTTCACCTAATTTATTCTCAATTTCTCTTTTTAACTTCTCAGCTCGTTCTGTTTGGGATCTCTTGTTTTTTTTTCTTCCATCTAACCATTCTTTTTATACCGAGCCGTTCATTTTAGCAATGACTTGTGGTTTCCAAAACGTTAAAGGAGGTGCGGCCGAGCTTAATACTGGCTTCTACATACCACTTATTGGTTTAGGAACGTATAAGATCACAGGGGAGCAGGTGAGTCTTCTTTCAATTAAATTCCATGCTCCAATGTCTTTTTGGAAAAACGAATTTGACTTGTGGAACAGCAACACGGTAAGAATGAGATGTGATATTGTGCATCAGTTGACAAGTTCACTAGTTAAATCAAAAGTTTCTGCTGGATGAGTTATACTTAAAAAATTCACCTCTTAAAAAAGTTCTTAAGCTCTTCAAAAATCGTTCTTCACAGTTCACTTTATGGAAACAAAATAAGGTGCTTCAGAAGAACATCGGTGTTTCCCGATTCAGGTAAAACCGGCTGTGGAAGCGGCTCTTGGTTGTGGATATCGCATGTTCGATACGGCGAAGTACTACAAGAACGAGCAGGAATTAGGAGAAGCATTATCTGTTAGTGGATCTCTTTGTCATGTCCTAATTTCAAAGCTTAATATGGAAGAGAATGACTTGGTAAGCTCCAATAACCATTGTTAATTATAGCAGTACTGACGTTAAGCCTTTGATTTCCCTCTCTCTCTCTCTCCATGGCGAGGACAACGATTGCGAGGATTTTTGAACTATTTCTAACTCTTTAGAAGGAAAACTTTAAGTTTTTAAGAGGTATTTCATTGTGACGTTAGTTTTTGGCTAAAACTAAAATAGTTTACTATCGCGAAGAATGACCTAACTAATTCTTGAACCATGCTGTTTATTTTGCACTAGTTAAACCCAAAAACATCATTTTCAGTACGAAGACATGTGTCATATTTTCTACTATTCATCTTTTGGAATTTCTGCACCTCAGTGGCAAAGCCTATAAATAGTTCCCAGGATCAGTTAGTGTTGCATTGTATTGTGTTTCTCTATGGAAGTAAATGTATGCTGTTTAAAAACCTCGCGATTGCTGAACAGGAAAGCGACGCATTCCTATAAATGGTTCTATTCACTGATTTTACCATTCCATCTTGCGATATTTTACCTTTTGACCGCACTGATGTGGTGATTAGTGATTCAGGAACTTCTGCCCAAGTACAACCTATCACGATCTGATATTTTTCTTACTACGAAATTCTTCCCGGTTGCCGATGATCCTTCAAATGGTGCTAGGAAGCACGTAATGGAATCCTTAGAATTGCTCAAGACAGAGTATGTTGACAATTTTTTTCAAGAATTTATTTTGGTCTACAGTGATTTCTTTAAGCTATATTGATATGGTCCTTATTCACTATCCAAAAGCTGAAGAACTAGATGAGAAAGACGAGAGAAATCCGCTTCATAGAAAGCTCACATATCTAGAACTCGAAAAACTTAAAGGTATGTGGATGAGACTAAATTTTGACAATCAGTCGATCTTACGGAGGTTTCTTTTTGCAAATCTTTTAATTATGAAATCAGCATAATCATGTAAAAAATAAAAGGGTTAATGCTCCCAGTGTTGATCAATTCCTGAGGGATACGCCATGCGTTCGCGTTCATTATTAAGCATCGCTGAAGGTGATTAAATGCATATCCGGCCTACACAATGACTCATGGTGGCCTGCCGATGTATGGAGCCAGTGCTGCCATCTTCCCAGACAAGTCTGGTAACAGCTTGCCGACCCCGGAGGGATAGAAGGTTTGTCGAGCCTGGGGCGCGAGGATCGATCCCATGTGTATTGCAGGGTTGCTTGACCACTGAGGTACACGCGTGATCAAATAAGGGGTAAAATAGGAAAAATGGTAAGATATTATAACTGTTTGAAGACTGGTACTCATAGGTAGAGTTATTTGATTATTATGTGCTTCAAAATCGCGTTGAATTTATAGGAGATTAGGGCAGTATTTTCGGAAAAATTCCTCTTCATTTTCTATTTAAAACTGCTTCTTGGTGCGTTGTGTTCAGAAATTTTCACCTGTATCACCTGTAGTCCCGTTGATCGTTGAGTGACTCGAGCGGGCGTCAATAAATCTTCCATTTTTCCCTGTCGCGTGCAAGAGTGGCACAGCGGGTTCTGCTCGCTCTAGAGATTCATCGAGCATCATATCTTCTAAGCTCTTCGTGAAGAATTCTAACCATCGGGCCGATGGTCTTCCTGCAGTACGTTTGACATCCTGAGGAACCCAATCACTAACGGGTCTTGTCCATCGATTATGATTCATACGCGTTACGTGTCCGGCCCACCTTATCTTCGACTGTTTGGCGTACAGAATGGCATCTTTGATTTTTGATCGTTGACGCAGATCGGAGCTTCGGATCCCATCCCTTACTTGTGTGGAACGGAATACTCCTAGCATCGTCCTTTCGAATGCGCGTTCGATAACGCTGAGTGATCTTTCATCCTGCTTACGAAGCGATCAGGTTTCTGACGCATACTTCAGAGCAGGATCTACCGTTGAGTCGAAAAGGTGGGCACGGAGTCGGGTGTTCTTTGTTCTCTACACTACATCCTCGATGCTCTTCAAAGCTCCCCAGGCAGCTCGTTTACTTCTGCTCAGCTCTGGAGCTAAGTCGTTCATCGTATTGATTTCACGAGATAAACAGACATAACTGCAGCATTCGGAGATATTCGTTCCGTTGAGCGTGAATGGGGCATACGAAACCAATCCGTTCTTTATGAACATCGTTTTTGTGAGATTTAGCCGAAGACCAATCTTTCCACAGGCTTTATCAAAGTCGTCAAGCATACGTTCCGCTTGGCTAATGCTTGGTGTAATAGTGACGATGTCATCAGCAAAGCGAAGATGGTGTAACCGCCGACCATCGATTTTCACTCCCATATTATCCCATTCCAATATTTGCGTAACGTTCTGGAGGGTGGCGGTAAATAATTTTGGCGAGATCGTATCGCCTTCCTTAACTCCTCTTCTGACGTGAATGTTAATATCGTTGTAGAACGGTGATATATTTGATGTGAAATCTTTGTACAGCTCACGAAGAATCTTTATGTACTGAGTAGGGACTCCTTGACCATCAAGTGCTTCCATGACTTCTTCTATCTCAATTGCATCAAAGCCCTTTTGTAAATCGATGGAAATGGGACAGAGTGGTCTTTCGTACTTTCGTGATACTTCAATGAACCTTGTTATTGAGTGGATGCGCTCCATCGTACTAAATCCTTTTCCAAATCCTGCTTGCTCACATGGCTGTCCTTCGTCTAGTGTTTTGTCAATCTTGTTTAGGATGACTCGAGTGAAGTTTGTAGACGACAGACGGTAAGCAGATTGGGCGATGGTTGCCGATATCGTGCAGGTCACCCTTCTTGAACAATAACACGGTTTTGGTGGTCTTCCACTAAGTAAGGACCTTGCATTCAGACAGGTGACGTGTGAAGAGCCGAGCCAGTGTGTTTACGAGGACTGGCGGAAGGTTCTTCAGGTGTTCTGGTCTTATCCTGTCCGGACCCGGCGTCTTCTCGTCTCGGCCAGGCCAATGGCTTCGTACCTTATCCTTCTTGCTTGCATGAGCAAGTCTTCTATCGAGAACTCGGATACAAGTGTACGTGCATTGTAGTGTAGGTACAGGTCGTCACCATAGTTCTTTGTAATCCAGGCAATTTCCATTGGCCTTAAGATTTTAGCATCCTCTCCGCACTCGTCCTACCCAACGCTGCGAAATTGGGGTCTCTTTCGGGGTCAGGCGAATGAGGCTCGTTTTTTTACTGGTTTAGCGTTTTCGGTACCCACGTATAGCTTGCTGGGTTTTGAACGTGGGGGGGGGGATGGATGGCTATACTCACGAGTAGCTTGCCAGGCTCTCTCACAGTGGACATGGAGCTTATTTGTTGGAGGCGACTCCTAACCGCCTCCCATATACTTCCCAGTCACTTGATTGTTGCAGGCTTTTGGCCGAATTGACTCGGAAGCCTTACACTTTTCCCTAAAAAGGACATGAAATGGCATGACCTCATGAAAGTATGCAACAAAAAATTCGAATGATCAAATTCGAGTGATGGTTACTCACCTGCTGAGCTACATGCGAATCTCTACCATGAACACCAACAGGTTTTTTTGCGGAGGTACCGCGTGTGAATCCACTGTATCTGCGTGGCTTTTGGGTTTCGTCCTCAGTGATGTGAGCTTGAGAAAGTAGGAGATAGTACTTCTGTGTAGAGAACAAGCGACGACAGCTGCGACACCAAGTGGAAAACCAAGCTAGAATTGGCTGATCCACTGGAGTGTTACATCTCTGCTATCGATGATCAGCTGAACATTACTGGCTGCTACAGATTATTCCCCAGTGGTCTTTACATAATTCAAGGTGAACCATGATGAGCAGATATCGGTCTGCCTGTCGGCGCCGCTGCTCTTACAGAGGAGGAAGTAAAAATTGAACTTTGATTTCGCGTGTTGACTATCTGCGTGAATGAGAACCTTTCATAATGCTTGATTCTCTTTCCTTCACTAAAGCGTTGGTTTTGAGGTATGAACTGGTAACGTTCTGCTGGAAAGTCCTCTACGTTCTAAGTGCACCCTGGACTTTTATGTAGTTTTCACCTCTTTGGGCTCTTTGGGCTCCCAAAACCGTTTCTTTTCAAGCGTAATTGTTCCCGACATCCAAATAAGTCATCTATGGAGTTGTCGAGTTATCGAGAAAGCGTTATAGTAACCATCTTTTTACAGGATCAAAAACGCTGTTTGATTTATTCCGGAGTAAAGAGTTGTTTATTCCTCTCGACTCATCTTCTACTTGAAAGGAGTCGCTTCTTATTTTCGACACACTCAATGCAGTTTTTTTTTTTTTTTGAAAACGCAAGTTCGTAGTTCTCTCGCAATCAGTTGGTTGTAGTCAATCATTAATACGACTTAATATTGACATTTTTACCGGCCATTCCTCAGCGAAAAGAACAATTAGGTGAGTACAAAAGAATCGATTCAACCAGCAGTTTTCTTCAAACAAGAAGTCCGATGGATGAGAAATTCCTTAGACGGAATACTGGACTGGCCCAAGTTTATTAAAATGGAATACAAATTTCGATAGATATCTGGACTGTTCGAAAATGTTTGAAATGAATCGTAATTTTTTGTGTTTTCTAAGACTAAGCCTACACAAGGTTGCTATAGTTTTGTTCAGCTATGTAATATCTTACTTAGATGAGGGCAAGATCAGGTCTGTAGGAGTGTCGAATTACGAGTCCCAACATATCGAAGAAATCAAAACATATGGAAAGGTGAGGTTCTGCTGGAGTGAATTCGTCCAACAAGAATAAATACGTGTTTCAGATGATGCCCTGTGCAAATCAAGTAGAATATCATCCTCACTTCACTCGTGATGAACTGAAAAAGTACTGCGCTAAAGAGGGAATTTTTTTCCAGGTATTTCTCATTTGAGCGGAGTCTTGCCTTCACTTTTTCTGTGTTAGCAATGAGTACAGTGACACAAAAAAGGTAGAAAAAAGGCAAGTACTCTTGTCACAATGCCTTTAACCGTATTACTGGCCATTATTTACAAACTACGCAAAAACTTGTTTTGATGAACGCTCAAAATTGTCCTACCTCCATTAGTAATTTTACTCCAGTAGCGGTGAGATTTCAATCTTTTCATTCAAATCGGTAGTACTTGTTACCATAAAGAATGAAAGCATTAAGCTCTCGGCATTGATCAATCCCTGAATTATGCGCCGTCCGTTCAACGTAAGTGTTGTGCAAGGTGATCGAATGCATATCTGGCCTTTACAATGACTCACGGAGGTCTACCGATCTATCGAACCAGTGCTGCTATCCTCCCTGACAAGTCGGGTACCAATGTTCCGACTCCGGAGGATGGAGGATTTGGTGAGCTTAGGGAGCGGGGGTCGATTCCATATGAATAGCAGGGCGCCTCGCTATACGCGCCGTGTTACCATAAGTCGACATAATGTTTGGTATCTGCAATGAAACAAACTTATTAATGTTAAGAAATTGGTGAATAGTGGGTCTGTCTGTATTGTTTAACACATTTCTAGCCTCTAGTTGAAACAAGAACTTCGGAAAACTTTCCTTGCATTTCAGTGCACACTGATAATATTAAAAAATTAAACATCGAAGAAAGTTATACTATACAATGATCAGGCGTTCTCATCGCTTGCCCGTCTTCAGCCGGAGCTTGTGCAAGATCCTGTGCTCTTAGATCTGGTCAAGAAACATGGCACCACTGTTACAGTAAGTACAGTCTTTCATATTACATCTAACTAATTCACTGTTTTTTTTTTATGAGCATGCACAAAGTTGTTCCTGAAGTATTTATTCGCAATAGCTGACGTTTCGGCGGTTTAGCTTTCTTCAGAGTCCGGAAAGGTCAAATTTGATTTAACTTTCAAAAACAAAACGGTTAGTGTTTAAATCAAGTTTTTTATTATGTGAATGGAAATTCTTGCGTTAAGTTTTGTCTGCTGAGGTTATGGAAGTGTTCGGCCAACCAGATTGAGATCAAATTTACTTTTCCAAACTCTGAAGAAGGTGAAATCCGCCGAAACCTCAGCTATTGCGGCCAAATCAATTTCGTGTCTGCTCGTCAAGAAAACAGTGAATTGTTGATTAATGCCAAGATTAAAAGAAATTCGCTGTTCGATCACTGTACCTAGTTACTACAATCATCCGCCTTTACGATTCGTTTCGTTTTTTGGAACTGCTTCATGACAAACATGGGCTCTATCTAGGGATATCTTCTGATCTTGTCTACAGTTCTTATCACCCGCCTTATCATTAACTTTGGAACGCTGTCAATTTCTTTAAATTTTGTTGTGAGAGGTAACCTATCGCTCTATATTTCGAAGATCGGAACATCAGTGGTCAGCTTGATGTTTAGTACTCCGCTTTACTACAGAGGTTCCATACCCGTGTTTCATCTGAGGCAGAATGTTAAAAATCGGAGAAGGCAGAGACACGTATTCTTTATCCTTTATGAGAGACTAATCACTTCCAGCCTTTTTAAGAAGAAGACGATACTTGCGATTAGTTTCCCGAGCTTTGTTGTAGAGAAACTCTTTATGGTAGAGGCGATTATGAGCCACATTCCATATGCTCCTTTGTTACTGTATCGCAGGATTTTGACACTCTTTTGGCATGCAGAACACAGTCTATGTATATGAAAACTATCAGAGACGGGAAGTTAATTTCCTCAATTCATCTGCCTTCAAGGAAAAATATCGTGATTCGGTATGAGGTGCACGATTTGCAATGAAAGAGTTCTAAACCGTTGCCAACAGTTTTTATTTATGAATGTTTCTTCTACTGTTTTAAAACGCAGAAATCCCTTTTTTTCTATTCTTCTTTTTTGCATGAACTTGTTTCCGATTTAGGTTATGATAATAGAAATTCCCAATGGTTTACCACCTTATTGCGGCTGAGGTGAGTTTCTGTGTCGTAGTGCGATTTACAGCGAGATTCATCACTTCAGCACGGTCTCAGTGCGATATTTCTTTGTGAAAGTATAACTAATAGTGAACTAAGAGTGAAAAAATGTCAGGAATCACTATCGGTTTAGCGGCAACCTGGTCACGAGGTAACAAATCTCCTTCCTGTCCGATGACTGCCTGATTTCATGACGTGACGATTTCGCAAGTTTTTTAGTGTTTATTCAAAAATACGAAAATTTTGGCCATGTAGACAGCATTTTAAAATGATCATATCTAAGTTCAAAAGAAGACGAATTTTGCAGTGTTACATTATATTAGCGACTTAGTGTCAGCTCAATAAGAACACAATTTGAAGTTGTCCTGAGTTCCTTCTTCATAGAAAAAGTAGTCATTTTGTTATTCAAATTTTATGGCATTCGCATTATTAAAAAAACTATTATTATTAAAATCTGTTAAAACAAAACAAATTATCATCAACTGATAGTCATATCAAAAACAACCGCGCTGTATAAAAGAGCGTCGCCTGGCATTCGAGATGCTCAACTGAGAAAGATCCGGTTCGATGCGAGACGATGACGCCACATCGAGAAGGGGAACATCTGTGGACCATCGACAACGATCGTCAGCTCTGATGAAGACGAAGACGTGGACATGTTGACCGAATAAACATCTCGTATCAATTTCGTGTAAGCTCAACATAGTAAACAAAAAAAGAACACTTCACCAAACAACGACGTTCTACGTGACTTCGCGCAAGGTTGTGAACATTGAAATATATGGTGAGGCCATATCTGCTACAGAAAAAGGAGGTGATAAATTCTTCGTGATCAGCGGATAGATCATCCATTTACATACTCTGACGGAAGTATAGCACCAGATAAGTATTGCCAACAAGTCGACAAGTGAAGAACTGAAACATCTGCGAGCGGCATTGATTAGTGAGTTCGCGCTAATTCTGCTACACGAAGCGCACTCGCAGGAGTTCTTATTAATGTGTTTACTTCCTTAGATACCTAGATAATCGTTCGGATTTTGATGTTACATATTGTTTGGATCGCAGAACTTTCTTTGGTCTCGTTCTCCTGCTATTGTCGTCCATAGAAGTGGTCGGGTTCGGGTGTGAATTCCGTTGCAACTTGAAGATCTTCCTCATTGATATGTTCGTTGCTGGTTAAGTATGGTTTTCATTGCATTTCCGAGATAGTAGTGCTGTTAGTGTTCCCATTTTTCGTCGCAGTTGCAATTTGTTTCGTTCCATAATTCTCATTTCTTAATCGAAAGCCTAGTTTTAGCTTATTATTTACTGCCTATTCTTTTTAACGGCAGCGTATACATTGCGAAATATAACTTGAATGGTGCTGAGATATTTGCAAAACTCCGGACCGCAGTTATCTGCGGTGGGGAACGAACGCGCTATTGTCCTTTCCGAAGAGTAACGCGTTCACCACCACACCATGCGGGTCCTTGGTTTCGCCTGCCTCTCAGCTAGTTCTATCGATCATTTACCATCAGCAATCACCCGTCAGCGGGATTGAGCTGGAAAGGACAATAGCGCGTTCGTTCCCCACCGTAGGCAGCTGAGGTCCGGAGTTTTGCAAATATCTCAACATCATTATAGTTATATTTCGAAAGCCTAGTGTTATATATGGTCGGTTTGGTTTCCCATTAAGCTTCCTCCATCTTATAAGTTTACAAATTCGTCAAAGATGGGTATGAAGTGTTTAGATGGGGATCGAGAAGATTAAACGTCTTAGCACTGTCAACCAAAAGTGTACTATACAATAAACTCCGTATGAATTAGTTCATTAACTATTGTTGCAGTGGGTAAAGTGGGTAGATAGTGTAAAATGATCGAGCCACGATCTGCAGTCCTTTGTGAGGACGCAAATGACTTTATAGTTTTTACTTACTTCCCATTGTGTTTTGCGTAGTTTTCATTCTTTGAACCACTTCCACTGGTAGTCCCTATGTTCGATACAGTACAGTGATGAGAGAGTTTTTTGCATTTAAATAGCACTGTGAGAGCCTTAATTTTCTTCCGCAACCGTTACATCCATACTTCAGGGCATTCTAAATTCGTCTTTAAATTGCTTTTGCAAAGCTCTATTTTATCATACTTTCATTGACGAGGATTAAATAGCAGGACTTCTACTATTTCTTCTAAGGTAAACTTTGTCGATGTTTGATGTTTCCACCTGAAGCCCAGCTATGATAAAGCAATACCAGGATTCGGTGCCATCCTCATACAAATTTAATCACATAAACCATGCCCATCCCTCCTTACATTGTACGCTGCAGTTTACAGCGTCTGTTGATGGATTTACAAAGACTGGCGCAAGGAACTGAGGTGCTGGGACTCTTGTCAGTGCTAAAGAGAAGATCCCATCGTGAATTTTCTTTATAGTAAGCTTTATTTTATCATATAACAATCTGTGATCCATCACCCTTACTTATGTATGTCATCTCGTTTATTCGATTCAGTACTCCCATCATAGGAAGATCGGTATCATGACTTGCTGTCCACCAACTTGTGCAGCGGATCAGAACAAAGCGTTTTAGAAGTTTGGAATTAGTAATCTACAACGATAAATTTGTTGAGACCTTAACACTAGAATAAGAAAAACCAGTGAGATTCAATACAGAATCCAGAAATGTGGAATAGCAGAGCGAAATGAGAGTGGGAACTGATTTACTGCAATCCCACTGACAGCATGCTTCTTACACGAAAATCCTTTTGTCGAAAGGAAGAAAGACTGCCTTTGAAATAGGGACCGCTTAATGATAGAACTAACGTATGAATCTGTCACATCTTCAAGGTTATAGTGTGTCTTTGACTCCCTATTGTTGTAATTCTATATTGGATCCGAACACTGAAGGAGATTAGAGCAGTTCATTTGTGAAATCGAAGTACTGATCAAGGACTACGAGGTACTTGTCGATGGGCTCAAAACCTATGCCGAAACACACCTCAGGTTTTAAACGAAACATCCCTAAAACGGATGGTGTTGAATGGTAATGGGAGGGCTAATGGACACTTTGCTGACATCGACTCGAATCACTCGACAGTGAAGCTATGCGAGTGGTATTATTCTTGTCCTCATTGTCCTTTACTATTTCGACATACTATGCTTATTCTTTTTATTAATCCATTTACAACTACAGCCGCAGCTTAACTGGGTTCTATGCCGATTTGGGCGCCCCAGATCAATCCCGCTGACGGGTGATTGCTGCGGCAAAAGATCGATAGAAATAGCTGAGACAAGCGAAACGAAGGACCCGCATGGTGTGGTGGTGAACGCGTTACTCCCCGGAAAGGACAATAGCGCGTTCGTTCCCCACCATAGACACCTGCGGTCCAGAGTTTTGCAAATATCTCAGCAACGTTGTGGTTGTATTTCGCTTAGTAACCTGCCGTGAAAATTATAGAAGGCAGAAAACAAAACATTAAACATTGTGATTTCAACTACAGCCATAGCTTAACTGGGTTCTATGCCGATTTGCGCGACGAATGCCCGGAGGTCATACCCGACCTGATCCCGTATGTTCGCATCGATTTTTGATGTGGGATGGTGCAGTCGTCAACCACATGCGACTACAATCAGCTGTTCTAAACTTCCTCATTGGAAGTCACGAAAAAGCGGCTCTGAAGAAGGCGATACTGCCGAAACGTCAGCTAGCGTTGTATTGTATTGTGTTTTTATGGAAGTAAATGTATGCTGTTTAAAAACCTCGCGATTGCTGAACAAGAAAACGACACATTAATCCATTTGTTTCGCGATTTAAGGGTATTGATATCGCATGTTTTTAGATGGTACTGCTTTCGTGGGCTCTCAGCCAGGGTGTGGGGATCATTCCGAAATCGGCTACTCCGGAGCGCATAGTTGAGAATTTGAAGGTACTGTTGTATACTTGTAAAATTAGATCGGTTTTTTACATATTGAGTATGTTTGTTCAATTTATTCTGGTCATTTAATGCGTTTGATGGTGTATAAAAGTATCCACTCTAAGCTGTTTTATTCACTATTAGGGCCTTTTACTGGTATCCCATCAATCTGAAATTCGTTGCTTAGGTGACAGAACTGGAGCTCAGCGAGGAGGAGATAGAGTTGTTGCACAAGCTCAATCGAAATCAGCATTATATCCGATGTTATGGATGGCGTGTGTTGTGATTTGCACCACTACGTCGTGTTCAAATGGTCACTTGTTATCTCTACGTTCTGATAAGTGTCTCTTTGTTCATTTTCATACGCTTCATTCCCTTTAGTGAAATGTTTACAAATTTTGTTTATCTTCTCGAGGACTTGTTGACAAATTGATTTTATCATATGAATAAAATCTCTAACAAGAGTTGCTTCAATATCATCACAGTAGGAGATTTTCCAAGCTTAACAAGAGTATTAAGCCAAATACAACCACAAGATTGCTGAGATATTTGCAAAACTCCGGACCGCAGGTGTCTGCAGTGAGGAACGAACACGCTATTGCCCTTTCCGGGGTGTAACGCGTTCACCACCACACCATGCGGGTCCTTTGTTTCGCCTGTCTCTCAGCTATAAAAATGAATACCCTGCCATAAAAATAATAGAAGGCAGGAAATAAAAAGTGCACATTGTGAATTCAACTACAGCCTCAGCTTAACTGGGTTCAAGGCCCATGTGGGCTCCCCAGATCAATCTCATTGACGGGTGTTTGCTTAGGGCAAAAGATCGATAGAACTAGCTGAGAGACAGGCGAAACGAAGAACCCGTATGGTGTGGTGGTGAACGCGTTACTCTCCGGAAAGAGCAATACCGCGTTCATTTCCCACCGCCGACACCGGCGGTCCGGAGTTTTGCAAATATATCAGCAATCTTTTGGTTGTATTTAGATTAATACCCTGCCATAAAAACAATAGAAGGCAGAAAATAAAAAATAAACTTAACAAGAGTGTTCACTTTCAGTAAGCTATTGTAATGAGTATACCTATTTCCTGTGGTAGGACAGCGATCAGCGGCTTCTGTTATTGGGTTGGAAATGTGCAAAGTTACAGAAGTCGGTGCGTAATGGGAAAGCATTGTGAAATTACGAGTGAATAGAAGGTTGAGCTACACTCGAGACTTGTAGTAAGACCACCTTGCTGGGTGCAGTGGTCGGAGGCGCGCTACAACGCACACGAATCTATTCTCGGGCCCATGGCCCGCCAACCTCTCCATCCCTTCGGGGTCGCCAAATTATGAAGTCGAATGCATGGCGCATCCATCAGCTTCGCTGTAGATGGGCGCTTAGAGAATTCTTGCACTCTCTTAGGTTCCATTTTACTGTTCTTTTCGTGTAATTGTCGCCAAAATTTCTCAATTTTTAAGCTTTTTATTATGCTACCCACAGCTGATTCCTTTGCGATGAGTATTTCGCTGGACTTGAGGGCGAGATATTTTTCGAATTTCTGCGATGCGCAGCGGCTTCGTGTGTGTGCCAAATTAATTTCCAGATGACATCATTCAAGTTTCTGTGGCTGACTCAAAACTCTTTAGCTTGACTGAAATGTCAATCCACAGCTCAGTTGCAGAACAGAGAGCCATAACGCTAACGGTGTCAAAAAAAAGTTGGGTATTCGGCTTCGTGTCCGTCAATTGATCAGTGGCATCTCCGAGGATTTCGTGTGCAGTTTTTGCTGCCATCCTTCTCCATGATTCTTCCTTTATACCGTTTGCCATGACTAGTTAAACGAAAAACGTATGACCTCATTTCTGAATCGCTGCTGTTGCCACATGAAGTAGGTTTTCTTCCAAGTAATGCGCAAACTTGTTATTTTTTCTATTTCGTGGAGTTCCAGTGAGTACTACCCTTCCTTTACGAGGACTTTTCGAAAAAGAAAAATTACCGTCGGTAAAAAGAAAATTCTAAAGAATATTGCCATGGTTAGACACATTTTCTTTATTCTCAGTGGAGAGACTTCCTCATCCGATGTTAATGCACTGGTGAACAACTTTAGCGCAACAGTGCTGCCCAATATCTTTTTCCGTGAAAACGGTAAAAGATCCGTTTAAAAAAAAGCTTAATTCTTGTGCAGCAATAGAGGAGATGGGCTAGAGTCGTTGTGTAGAACACGGGCACTGATTGTACGTATTCACGTCAAGGCGAAAAAATCGAAAATTCGAATAGGTAGGGGTGGGTCGTACAGCTTTTTCTTCACTCAGTTCTCATGTAGACCCTTCAAGCCCTTTTTTACACTATTTCACCTGTTAAATTATGTCACGCAATTGAAATTGATTGTTCGAGCTATCCATGCATACAGAAACAGTGGAAGACCTTTATACCAATAGGCACGAAAGTATCGCCAGGATTCAATCCATTCTTTTTTAAGTGGCTTTTCGTAAATCCAGTCGGAGTTATTTCACACAAAAACGCAGGAGATCTTTTTTAGAACCGAACCATGTCACTTCGTCCAAACAAACGTAAGCGTTTGGAGCTATGTGCCATGGGTTCGACTTCATAAAGAATCATAGAGGTGCATATCGTAGTCTTATGATAACCTATCGATCTATCGAGTCAGTGTTCCGGTCCTCCTAGACATGACGGATCAAATTTTCGATACCAAATTGACGAAATGCATGGTTATGCCCTTGGTACGGGATGGAATCGGTGACTGATGCAGTTTGTTTCGCAAGGCACCTTTAACAACTGTAGCACAAACTCGGCTCTCCACGCTTCATTATATGGCTGTTTTTTGTCGCTTGGGTTATTCTGAACAATGTTTCGATGAAAATTCCACAATTGTGAGCTTAGTTGCAGTGTGGAAGTCGCTGTGTGAATTGCAGCCTCGAGTGTATATCATTCTCTCACGGAATTGTTGTTTGAATTTCTCCTATGATGAAAATAAGATTTTCAGTTGATTTTTTAAATATTTATGGATTGATGTCTTATCAAAACCATCCTCTTTGAATATAAGCGAGAACATCATGAAGTAGAAGGTCTATTGTGGTATATGACACTTCGATTGCTGACTATGGACGAATACTCTTAGAAGGCAGCACTGTTGATCTAGCATAAAGCTAAAGAAAGCTTTCGCCGTTGATCAATCCCTGAGGGATGCGCCATGCATTCTACCTCATTAAACATCGTTTGGAGGTGATTGAGTGCATATCTGGCTTTTACATGATTCGCGGTGGCCTACCGATGTAACGAGCCAGTGCTGCCATCCTCCCATACAAGTCTGGTACCAATTTGCCGACCCCGGAGGGATGGAAGGCTTGGTGGGCCATGGGCGCTGGGATCCATTTCACGTTCATGTTGCAGGGCGCCTCCGACCACTGCGCCACACGCGCCCTTTTGATTTAGCATGGTGGCCCATATTGCCAGTGTCTCGCACAATCTGTCAAGTCTACTAGTGAAAATTCCAGGTACGAGCAGTTGTTAAAGAGTGATAAAGTAAGGAATATATCGACCAACGTAATCGAAATTGGTTCTAACCTATTTCAGAGAAGTGTTGTAGGGAGGCCTATTAACCATAATATGGGTTGATGTTGAATGTGGGTTCAAAACCGGTTGCTAAATGTCAGATTAACTCAGTGCTTTCAATTCATAGAAAGCGATGAATGACTGCTTTGCTGAATTTTACGACCTCTATGAGTCAATGAGTTGGAAGGATATGCATAGTTGGATATTGTTTGTTTGTTCTAATCTCTATCAATCACTGAGCAGGTGAGTTGAGGTTCGATTCATTCAGCATTCTCGCAGCGCCTTTGACGGTGCTTTCCCTAAACCACTACCTTCCTAATGGAATCCGAGTGTCCAACACCCTATAACTCGTTGTACGTTCCAGTGAAGGTTAGTGGTTTTTGATAGTTCATATACTACTCTGCGTATAGTCCGATAGAGGCGGAGATTGTACGGAAGGTGAAAACTGAGTACTGAAATTGCTAAGTTGCTGTTATCAGGTTTGCCACTGTTTACAGAGCAACACAAGTTTTGGACCTGCGTAGTCTGTTTTACTTCAGGCCTTTCGAAGTTGATTCGTTCAGCATCCCTAAGTGATTCGAGCAATTTATACTATTACTACGATGTATTTTTCAAAACTTACTATAAAACGGAAGCATGCATACGCAACAAACGTTTTGGTGGCAGAAATCAAAGTGTTCCTGGAAACAGTCCTCTTAAACTGAATGCACTTCACCATTAAACATAACACAAAATGAACATTTAGAGATGCGATGTTGTATGCTGCATGCATGGAACGTCGTGTGAAGTTGGGAAGGAGAAGCAAAGAGAAGAAAATGGTGGATTTGTGCTTACCAGTATTGTCGACCGAACCGATCTTGATGATGTTTTCTAACTTAGGTGATGACAACCTGTCCGAGCAGTACGTAAATCTCGTCGACACTAAGAGAGGCAAAGAGACCACCAGAGATGAACTTATACAATCACTCGCTGGAAAGCTAAGGTAGCAATTTATGCCGCAATTCTATTAGCTATAATCATACCATACTGCATTATAACCACAGAAGTTTATGGTACTGGAAGGTTTCACACGAGGTATACCGCAACAATACCTTCGGCGTGCTTTTGCTGCGTTTTGTTTTATTGTGTACAAAGATCTAAACATTAGGAACAGTCACAACGTTGCTGAGATATTTGCAAAACTCTGGACCGCAGGTGTCTGCAGTGGGGAGCGAACGTGCTATTACTCCTTCCCGAGCCTCACGCGTTGACGGCCGCACCATGCGAGTCCTTCGTTTCGCCTGTCTCTCAGATCACCTGTCACCTGTTGCCCCGTTGATCGTCGAGTGACACGAGCGGGCGCCAGTAAATCTTCCATTTTTCCCTGTCGCGTGCAAGAGTGGCACAGCGGGTTCTGCTCGCTCTAGGGATTCATCGAGCATCATATCTTCTAAGCTCTTCGTGAAGAATTCTAACCATCGGGCCGATGGTCTTCCTGCAGTACGTTTGACATCCTGAGGAACCCAATCACTAACGGGTCTTGTTCATCGATTATGATTCATACGCATTACGTGTCCGGCCCACCTTATCTTCGACTGTTTGGCGTACAGAATGGCATCTTTGATTTTTGATCGTTGACGCAGATCGGAGCTTCGGATCCCATCCCTTACTTGTGTGGAACGGAATACTCCTAGCATCGTCCTTTCGAATGCACGTTAGACAACGCTGAGTGACCTTTCATTCAGCTTAGGCA